TGCAGGTTCCCTGCACCTTAGGTGTTGAGCGCATACCTGCTGATCATTTTTCTAAGAACTGCAGCCAATGTCTCTCCATCCTGTACACTGTTGAACACGCTCTGTATATATATTGAGAGGTTTCCCTTCTGAGTGAGTCAAAGGAAAATGTTTCCCCTTATTAGGTGGGTATTTTAACATTTCTTATTTTCTTTTTGTTCTTGTAAGTTGCATCACATGCTTTCCCTTCTACTTCTGATTTCCATGCTCAAAGAGGGCCTATGCCTTTGTTCTTACCTTTCTGGGAACTAACCTAGTTTCCATGCGGTAAGGGATGTTCCCTCTGAGTTCACCAAAGCACATCTTCCTGTCATCTTTCCCTCTCTCCTCTCCTTTCTCTAAGGCTGTAGTTTGTTCTTATGCTTCTCAGATGCTTTGAAGACACAGAGCTTTCCTGAATACTTTTATTTAAACGTGATGCCCTCAGATTTTACCGTTTGATTGGCTTTCTCCTCTTTAGGACCCAAACTGACATCACATAGGTTTTGTCACTTTTCTCAGCCCTCAGTGCTGTCATTGTAAAAGTAGAGCAGACTGAGGGTTCACAACCTGGGCGAGGGGGTCTGTGGACTCCTAGGGAGCTCTCAGAATGATTCAGGTGTGAATCTCCTAAAACTTTATGCAAAATTGTATGTGTGCCACCCTCCTTCCCAAACAACTGGCCTAGAGTCCTCAGCTAACCTCAGGTTCTCAAAGGTTCTGTGATCCAGAAAAAGTTATGAGTCACTGGAGTAGATGATACTTAAAGATTCTTTTAAATTCAGAAATTCTGTGAGGATCTCTCACTCAGTTGTAGGAGCTCTTAACAACAAAGTCTGGATGCCAGTCTGCAAACAGTGCTATCCTGGGGAAAGCTCAGAAAATATTTGATGATGCTAATGGTGGAGATCTCCCAGACGATACTCCCCTTCACTTTCTTGACCAATTGTCCTAAACCTTCTTGGCCAAAATTTACACGCAACACGATCCAAGAACTTGGTTGATAATTCTGAACTCTTGGGCATTTTGGATGTGTTTGTGTGTATGTCTTTGTCCAATTGGTTAAGTTGTCCCTCGAAAAAGAAAAGGGAAAGCTTTTGTTTCTCTGTTGTGAAAGTCCACAGGTCTATCAGAAACCCCCTCCTTAAAATTTTGTATTTGTTCTTCTCTCTCCTTGTAACTGAAATTCACAGGATTTTTGGCTGATCATAGAATGTCAAAGCTAACAGGAAGTTATCTTTGTCTGAATCTTTTGTTTATGGATGAGGAAGCTGCCAGAGAAAGGAAGTGATTCACCCAAAGACACACAGCAGGCTCATGGCAAAGCGGGAGCTAGAGCCCAGGAATCCTGACCTGCAGTGCAGCACCCTTCCCAACGATCCCGCTTCCCCTAAACGCTCCCTACCTCTCATTCACCCCTTTCTGCTGTTCAGAGAACACCACGAGCAACCAACCCAATGTCTCATCAGCTTGGGAGTCTTCAAAGGAGTGAAAAGTCAAACCCTTTCACAGCTGCAGAGATGGGGGCAGTGGGCTGGGCTGGACAGGTGACTCAGGAGAAGGAAAGCAGCAAAGCAGGGACTAACACAATTAGGGAATGCTGATGAGCAATTAGCAAGGGTCACAGGACTTGAGGAAGATGACCAGACACACTGGGAGAAGGTGCTGACCAGTATCCACAAGAGGCACCAATCAGCCCTCCAAGCTCGGCTCCCAGCCCCTTCTGTCCACCTGCGGAAGCGTCAGTGAAACCAGGAACTCACGACTCCCCTCCCTCCTCTCATGTTCCTACTCCTGGGGCTTGGCTGGGCTATTTGCTTGCCTTGAATGCCGCCCTCCTGCTGTTCACCTATCATAAAACCCCCAGTTCTTTAAGCCCCAGATCAAAAGCCGCTTTTCTCTTAAAGTCTTTCCATCTTCCTCTTCCTGCCGCTTATTATTTCTCCCCATCTTGAACTCTCAGAGCGAACTGTTTGTGACCCTACTTCCCTGTCTGCGTTACAATTGTGAACATGTCTCATCCCCCCAGTGGAGCTCATACACTCCTTTAGTTGGGGTCAGTCATATTGTATTCTTTCTTTCACTCAAAAAATATTCATTGAGTGCCTTCCATATCTCAGGGGTTCTGGTCCCTTATGCTCTAATGGTGACAAACAAAGGGACGAATACAATAGAGCTGGTAAGTGCCCCTTAGGTCAGGTACAGGGAGCTGTGAAAGCACAAAGTCCAGCATTTACTCTAGTCTTGCAGGGGGAGGGGAAAGTCGTCAGGAAAGGCCTCCTGGAAGGAGCAACATCTAAGTGGAAAAGTGAAGGACAGGTGGGAATTTCCCAGACATACAAAGCAAGGGAGGCTTTGGAAGGTGAGGCTGGCTTGCTGTCTAAGGGGCCCGATCACATGGGGCCTTCCTAAGCCCATGAAGGAGGAGAGACTTTCCTGAGAGCAAAGGGGAGCCCCTGACGATGTTCACTCCTCTGTGCCTCTTGCAGCACTTAGCACAGTGCCTAGAACATCCTAGATGCTTGAATGGGAGAGGCAATGGTCATAACATTTCCCAAGGTCTTTTCATGCTCTCAGGTTAAATTCCCTCGACTTATGGGTCAGATGCTCAACCTAGCTTCCCAACAGTGATAACAAAATTGAACTACTGGTTTAGCACCGCACCGCAAGGACAAGCGTGGCTGGCAGTTCTCCTGATAACGCAGACTGGTCTGGAATGCATTTATTCAAATAAGTGACACAGCCTGAGATCACATCTTGTGACTGGATCACCAGAGAATACCTGTCATTCAAGCCCTTCCCATCTTTAGCTCTGTCATCCAAAGAGGCCCTCAAGAGGCAGAAAGCTTCTTTTGCAGGACCTCATTTCCCGGGTTGCCATCCTGCTCCCAGTGCCAGGAGGGGAAGGCAAAGGGGCTTGGGAGGGAGTGTGTGGGCAGGAGCCCTTTTCACACAACCCCCAGCTCTCAACAGGGAGCAAGATGGGTGCCGTGGAGAAGGGGCTCGTGCTGGGAAAGCAGGAGGAAGGGAGGGGACAGGAAGCGGTGCACTTGGGGTCTGGAAGCCCACCAAGAAAGGCAAATCAGTTTTCAACAAGCCTGGCTTTCTGTGTTGCCAGCCCCCTCCTCTCCTCGTTAGGAAGCGGGAAGCGCGTACCACTAATCTCACCCGAGCGAGCGCCATGCGCACTTCCTGTGCACATTGGGTCCTGGCGTCAGGCCGCAATGACTCACTGCTGACCATAACGAGGCCTCCAGGCCCCAGGCGCTGACTTAGAACATTTACAGAATTGTTCCTGTGTTGAGACATTCACTTCTTTTCAACCAGCCACTTCACCCGCTCTCCCCCAGCGAACTATTCATTCCTGACTAGACACACCCTTCTTTCCTCACAGAACACCCCTTCCAGGAGCACCTGCTCCCGGGCCAGGTAAAACCCTCCCCAGGTATTCTCTTTCCTCAGGCCCACACAATCCACTTTAGGGAGCCTTCCCACATGCCAGGCACCACACCCACCTCATTTAATCCTTACACTGCCCTTCGAGGGAGGGACAGAGTTCCACTCCTACTTTGCATAGGAGAAAACCAGTGGGGAGGCTAAGCCTGGTTATTTATCATTATCCCACACTGTCCTTCCCTGCAGCAATGATGCCCCACTCCCCGCCACAGGCTGGGGCTGCAGGTCTGGCCTCACCTGTGCTTTAGGCCGCTGGGCTCCTGCGGCCTCCAAGCACACCTCTACTGCTGTGTCCGTCAGACTCACTGAAACATAAGGCTCCTCAAGGGCAGAGATGAGATAACCCCTGTATCCTGCCCAGAGGCTGGTGTCTACAGGCCTTCAATCAACTATTTGTTGAGTAAATGACACTTTAAAGGGAAACTGGGATTGCAGGTCTGAGGATCAAGCATCGTCTATCATGGACATTGTGCACAGTAGATAATAAATGATTTGGAGACATCTTCAAGAATTCTATCTGGTTCGAAAAACATTCTAGAATGTTCTCAGTTCCAGAAGCAGCTCTCCATCGCCCAAAGCGGATAGCTTCCATTTGTAAAGTGCTGACATGTTCCGTTCCCAGCCCCTGTGCTTAGCACTTTACATGCATCACTTCGTGGAATCCTCTCAACCAGACTCTGAGGTAGGTGTCAATCTCCATTTTATGGATGAGGAAACTGAAGCTCAGAGAGGGGAAGTAACTCACTCCCAAGTCACTGCACAGTAGAGGTGAGCAGGCATTCAAACCTGGCTGCTTTAGAGAAGCTGCCCAAATCTTTGCCTTCTGGGGTAGTAAAGAACGTAGCCAAAATTAGAACCGTGATCCAACTGCTAAGTTCATCTCCCCCTGCCCCCAAATTTTCAGCCGTCAAAACACCCTAGGGCCGCCCTGGTCCAAACCCCCAAATCCGGATAGCTGACCTGGAGAGAAAATGGGACAGTCACCTAAAACCCTGGCCTGCCTTTCAAGGAGCCCAGCACGGGGCCACTCCCCCCAGAACCAAAACGCATTTGCTCTTCAGTGAACAAGTCAGCTCGCACACAAACACGAGACAGGACGAAGACCTGACACGGCTGAGCGCTGGCAGGCAGAGCACCGGGGGTTACGGGAACGAAGCGTGTCGCACACAAAGCCGAGTCACACGGAGCCCCACCGCAGCCTGGTGTTCTCGGCCGTGCTGGGCAGAGGGCGGCTCATCCCCCAGCACGACGGGGCCGGGAGGAAGGCCTGCCTCCTCGTGGGCTTTTGCACCAGCCCAGGAGGTGCCCAACGTGGGGGTCGCTTCTGAATCACCTTGAGAGGCCAGGATACAGACTGTCCTTTGCCTCCACTGTCCCAGCCCTGACACCTTAATGGACAACCCCTCCGCCGTTCCCTCCTGGGTCATATTTTTGCTCCCAGCTCTCACGGGCGTCCACGCGGCCAGGGGTGAGCCCACCCTGCTGGCCAGGACACCCGGGCACACACGGGCATGCTGCAGGCCTACCTCGCTCGCGGCAGTCCGAGCGGCCTTCCTCTCGGCCGGCTCGCCACCTCTCTGCAGCTCTGAGGGCTCAGCCTCCCTTCCCGGGAAAGGGCTACCCCGGGGCTGGCGGGGCCGGCTCTCCTCTGGGGTGTGGAGCTCTGTGGGTCTCTGTTCGGTGCTCAGACACCTGACCACGTCTGACGGTCTCAGGCAGCTCTTCTTAGAGATGGCGGGTCCACCCGGGCATCTCTCACCTGCCTCCCTGTCTGCTTTCCTCTCACGTGCTCCACTTCCTTCTCGCCACGGCTGCCGCTCACCCTGGCTGCTAAAGGCATCACTAAGCTCCGAGATGACCCTGTCCGAACGCCCAAGCCTCAGCTGGGAGAAGCTATCCTTGAGGACCCCTGGAGGTGGCACGTGGGTACCACCATCTCCGCTGGCGTGGAGGGAGGTCTGGGAACCGGGCGCCAGGGAGCAGGCTTTGTGCGGGGGAGGCAGGGCCAGCGGGGAGACTGCTGAGCGTGGGGTGGCCCAGGCCGACCAGCCCGAACGGGGGACGCTGAGGGTAAGGGAGGAGCTGGGCCTCGCCCACAAGGCCAGGGGTTCAGGGCTATAGACAGAAGCCTCTGGCAGAGGAGGCAAGGGTGGGGTCAGGGCCAGAGGCCGCCTGCTCGGGACTCCTACGGTCAGCGAGATCCACTCAGAGGTGACAGCGTGCATCTCGGGGGACAGGGCTCGGTGGGCGTGGGGCAGAGATGAGGGGGCTGGCGTGATGAGCTTGCTGTGACCGGGAAACTTCAAAAGAAAAGGAGAGAGAGGAAAACAAAAGAAGCAAAAGGCACAAGTGTCAGCACAGAGAAGAAAAGGGGAAAATAATCACAAGGGCTATATGGAGAGGAGTGAAATGGAGAGGAAGAGCCGGACACTCTGGTGTCCAAAAAGGAAATCATCTGGTTAGGTTGGGAGAGAAACTGGGATGTGGGTGCATGCGTGTGGATGCGCGGGTGTGTGCAGGCGGGGGGAGGATGGAGAAGCACGCGGTATGGAGATGGGAGAAAGGGTCCCATCAGGGCAGGAACAGACGGTGCCGGCTGGTCTGTGGAATCAGACTTGTAAAGGGACACACTGGAAGCACCCCACCCAACCGCCTCTGCCAACGCAGCCTTGACCCAGAGCCATGAGGAGAAAAAGGTGTCCTGGTTGAACCACTGTGCTGTACACCTGACACTAATATAACATTGTATGTCAACTAGACTTCAATAAAAGTTTAACAAGGCCTGCCACTGCTCTGACCCTTCTTGGGCTTTTATTCTCTCTAGGGGGGCTCAGCAGAGAGCCTTCCAGAGAGGAGTATGAGTATCGTAGTCATCTTGTTTTATAGTTGTGCTTGGCTACAGTCAAGCGAAAAATCTAGTTGAGTTCCCCATGCTATGACGAAGCAGAACGCCCTGCGCCTGGCTCACACCCTCTCCTCGAGAGATCATAGGATCTGGATCTCGCTGTGCAGGAAGCCCTGGGTCAGCCCATCTCATGCTTCCTGCCAAGAACCATCTCCTGGGGTCAGCAGTGGCAGGTGGGAGAGGAGGAAATGATTAGAAGATGAGAGGAAAGAGGCACCATCCAAGTGTCCCCAGGTCCTGCTCTCATTTCTCTGGCCATACTCCCTGTAACTTACCACTTATGGTCAGTCTATTTCACAAGCAGTCACCCCACTGTGCCTCTCCTGAACCCAAGGTCTGATTTTTTTCTTGGCTTTGGGAAAGTGGGGATGGGTTTGGAATAATTTATATTTTAAAACAAGTTTGTTCACAATTAATGTTCAGGCAAGCAAAGATCTTATTATGCCTATGAATCTACTTCTTTTCAGCCCAGTACAGACAGAGACACTGTTCCTTTTCCAACCCGGTTCTTGATTGCAAAGAACACTCTGAATCCAGTCTATATGTCTGAGGATGAGCCCATGAAATTCTCTCTTTCAATCTTTGTCTTCTACAGGCCAATCTTGACCAGTAAGATGACTAAGAGAACCATACTGGCCATGGGACAGTGGTGGTATCCAGACAACCAGCTTCACCCAGGAAGGGATGCTCCCAGAACAGAGTTTTGGACCAACTGATAATGGCGCTTATTTCTCTCTCCCTAATCATCTTATCCCCAGAGCAATCACCTTAAGCACTTCCTTTTCCCCAAGATAGTATTTCTCCCACCAAGGTCTTGAAAAATGCCATTTGTACACATGAGAACAAACCCTGCACTGCTGCAGACGGTTCTTAATCACAGTGTTGCAGAACCACCCCCGAGGGGCTGTGTGCTATTAGCACGGAGGTTTGTCGTGCTGAGTGTGAAAACCAGTGGCGAGAAGCTTAGGTACCTGAGGGCTTGCAGTGGCACTACGACTTGGGGAGGAGGAGAAAGGCAGGTCGATGTAATCCACGGGGTTTTTCACCAACGGCCGTTTGATCACGTCCACATAGGTGATGGGGAAGATGCCTTGCCGGGACGTCCCTGGGATCCTCCCTTCGTACCAGTTCTCGTCCACCTGTCGAAGCAGCGTGATCCTCTCGCCCTGCAAGACACAGAAAGGCAAGGGTCCTTGTCCTAGCAGGCCTTGGCACGTCTGAGGCCCCTGCCTGTACCTCGTGCTCTCCTGCATTATTTATTACATTCTTTGTTCAGAAAAACCTTCTTTGCTAGACCTGGGTGGAATCAGTTATCACTGGGACGGAGATGTTAACAGCAGTAGAGATACCTGGAGGCTGTTAAGCTTGGTCTTTACATATTTTGGTAAAGGAGAAGGTCAGACTCATTCTCTCAAGCTAACAGGCAAACATAGTATTTTTGACTCATCTAATGCAAAACAGACAGATACCCAATCTTCTTCTCTAAGGTAAAGGTTTTTGGGGTTCTTTTTCTTTTTTTATGTAATTTTATTTTTTCCTGTATTATTACAGAAAAATTAAAACATAAACCTGAGGCAGAAAAGAATCATTACCATAATATTATCACTTGGGGGTAACCACTGTTAATATTTTGGTGTAGATAATTCCATGTGAATTAGACTTGCACATACTTTTTTCTTATGAAAACTGAATACGCACTCTATTCCCCTTTCCAACTTGCTTTTTTATACTCAATAACATACAGTGAACCTCCTTCTTTATCAAGAAATAGAATTCTACATTTTTCCTGGCGGTGCACAGCTTAATGGCCCACTGCAGGATGTTCTATTGTACACACATATAATGGTTTAATTATTGGTCTCCTGATGTAAGGCAATTAGGCTGCTTCCAGTGTTTCTTTCTTCTATAAGCTGGCTCATTTTTTTCCAGGCATAAGCTCACGTCCCTCAATCCTCAGTAAAATTAGTAACTTTAATACCTTCAGCCAGTTGAGAATTTTGGCATGTAAAGACAGCGTCTGAATTCGTGGGAAGGACAGTGTCTCTGCACAGCTTAACTGTGTTCAAAATAAGCATGAGCGCCTTGAAGGCAACGATAACACTGTCCTCTCCTGCTCAGTGAGCCCCAACTAGATGCCACGTGTCACACTGGGGGCTTCACTGAGGCTGTTTCATTAAATCCTCTCACAGCCGCTCTGGAAGGGGGCCATTTATCTTCATTTTACATATAAAAAATCGCAGCTCTGAACAATTATTTAACTCCCCCAAAGCCACACAGCTGATAACCTATGACTCTTGGCTTCAAAGTTTTTCAAACTTCCTGGACTTCCTTTTCTCCACATTAATGTTGTACCACCTAGTTACCAACACAGCACTTCTCACATTACTAGGTGCTCGATAAACACTGAATACGGTTTACAAAAGAGGTAGGTCTGTGAGAATTCATGGACCGTTCATTAGTGAACTCAATGCAGGGTTTGTTTTTTTAATACTTCATGGCAGAAACCCTGCAACTGCCCTCTGTGCAATCCTTGATGGGGCACGGAGCTTGGGGGCACGGCAGCCTCACCACAGTGGCCGCCGCTGCAGTGCCCCATCCCCACGATGACAGCGCCACCCAGCGGGGCCCCCTGGCGTGGGATGAGAGGGCAGCTTACCTTTCTGAAGGACATCTCTACTTGTGTATCACCATTAAAGTTAAACTTGGCGATAGCTTCGCCGTATTCCAGAACCTGCACTGGTGCCAGCTTTTTGGGCTGAGCCTTCTCAGCAGGAGGAAGAAGCTGAGAAAGGAAAAAGGAGGCGAAGGAGAATGGAAAAGAGAAGAAAGCAGAGAAATGAAAGGAGGAAACGAAACACAAGTTAAATGAATTGTGCTTTGGGCACGACCAGGCTTTTCCTTAGAAAGAGAAAGAGCCAGAGTACCTCAATGTAGGTACGGGGGAAGATTCCCACCCGGCCGTGGTGCTCTCCTTCATACCAGTTCTGATCGATCTGCTTATAAATGTACACGACGTCTCCCTTCTGCAGAGGAAGCTCCCTGTGGACAGAGGGTCACAGCATCTTATCAGATGTCCCAATGTGTGTAAGACTAAGATGCTCCTTGTTTTAGCAAAAGGAGACTTCGAGTGAGGTCAAAGGGGACAAGTTACAGAAGAGGCGGCTCCACATGTGGATGCGACGACTCCACTATTCAGGAAACTGCAGCACATTCGGCATTTTTCCAGTCTTGTGGGATGAAGGTTAACTTTCAAACTGACAAGTGCCCAGACACCTTATTAGTTTGTTGTGGTTTCCCCAATGTATTTTTTGTCAATGCTGTCTTATGCTCAGAATATTTATGCAACACACAGTGATGCACCCAGCAGTCTTAGCTGCTGTTCATTAATGAAAAATGTTTCCTTCTAGATACTTTCACTACCCTCTTCTATGCCCTAGAAATGCATGCCTTCATTACCCATGACATTTAAATTACCCTCAAATTGTTTGTGACATACGGATATCCTTTTATCATTCTATCCGTTTAGCCATCCATCCACCACTCATTTCATTACCCATTCATCCATCCATCCATCATCATGCAGTAGAAACGCTCTGATATTAGGCAGATCTGGGTTCAAAACACAGTTATACCATTTACCAGCTCTGGTACCTTGGGCAAGATATTTAATCTCTCTGAGATACTTTCTTTATCTGAAAACAGGAGCTAACTCAGAGTTGGTGGAGAATTCAGCAACAAACTACAAATAAAACACCTAGCACGGTGCCTGTTACATAGTTAACACTCAGTAAATGTTAATTCACTTTCTTTTCAACATGGAAAAGGGATCTTGGAAAGAAAAGTGGATTTTCCTTCAAATGGTCTTCTTGCCCCTTTTCAACTTTTCCATATACATCCCTTTGTTTGCCTCAATAATATGTTAACCGCTAACCAGGACTCCATTTTAAAAACTGAGAAAGATAAATTTTAAGCAACACAAAAACTGTACCTTGAAATTTTCTTGCATTAAAAAAAAAAAAAAAATGGGGCTTCCCTGGTGGTGCAGTGGTTAAGAATCTGCCTGCCAATGCAGAGGACACAGGTTCGAGCCCTGGTCCAGGAAGATCCCACATGCCATGGATCACCTAAGCCCGTGCGTCATAACTACTGAGCCTGCGCTCTAGAACCTGCAGCAAGCCACAACTACTGAGCCCGAGTGCCACAGCTACTGAAGCCTGCACGCCTAGAGCCCGTGCTCCACAAGAGAAGCCACTGCAAGGAGAAGCCCGCGCACCGCAACGAAGAGTAGCCCCCGCTCGCCTCAACTAGAGAAAGCCCGTGCGCAGCAACAAAGACCCAACGCAGCCAAAAAAAAAAAGAAAAAATGACTAGATCTTTTCCATTTGCCTCAAACCAACAGCATGGAAAGACAGGACTCTGACTGCAATTTGGACGGGGTGTGCCTGCTTTGCAGTGTGCCAGGAAGTCCCACGGTACGTGAGGGATGCTGGCTAAACAAAGGGGCACATCTGGAAAACCTCACACAAAGTCAGCACTGTGCTGGATGAGAGAACAAGGCAGCCTGTGTGGGTCTTGCACTGGTAGGCAGGATTCTAACCCTAAAGAGGCCTGTGAAGGGGATCCGGGGCATTTGTCTCTGGAAGAAAGAAGGTCTTTGGCCAAATTCTTGCCATAGCCCTCCCTGGGGGAGTTCTGAATCCTCCCCTCCATTTACTCCCAACTCTGGGCACACAGATGAGCAGAACCCTCAGAATATCCACCCCTGCTGGAGATCTGCAGGCTCCAAGCTCTGCCACCCTAAGTGACTCGCAGGTCACTTAGGCACATGGCAAGGTCTGGTAATAACAAGGTTTGGGAAATAATATGATGTACTTTAGATCTTTTCTGGAGTGTCACCATGTACATTAGCACAGTGGAAGCTTGGAGAAAGTCCTGTGGGACAGAAACCTGTTTAACTTGGTTGAAACGAGTGCTCCCACAGAACACTTTTTTGAGTAACATACTATGGAGGAAAACAGAACCCAGGGACTGGAGATGTTTTGAAATATTCAAGTCTATGGATCTTTTGTTTTCTCTTTAAAAAGTATTATTAACTTTTCTTGGGAGGCAACGTGGTACAATGAAAGCACTGGGTCAGGAGGAAGGAGCCCTGTCCCAGCAGGAGCAACGTTGGTAAATGGTGATGAGTTCTGTCTATCTTAGCCTTCTCACCTGTTCTATCTGTGAGGATTTTTAAACGAAATCTAGCTAAATGTAATATCACAATACCGTTCAATGATTACATGGAACTTTCTCAATTCAAAGAAAAAAGAGGAAAAGGTACTTCTTGATTAAACTAAAAAATTAATTTACATAACTATATATATATATATTTTATAACCAGAGGTCTCTGGTTTAAAAAAAGGAGGGGGACACTTTTGCTACACTATGCAACATACCTTACAAGTATTACCTTGGCTGCCCTGCAAGAGAGGCTTTTTTTTTTTTTAAGAGAGGCATTTTTATGCCCATTTTACAGATGAGGAAATTTGAGGTGGAGAGGTTGGTGATTTGCCCATGATCAGAGGCAGTAAGTGGCACAGTCGGGATTCAAACCCAGGACTTCCTGACTCTAGAGCCCATAATCAACCCAGCACATTATGCCACCACCTCTCATTAGGTGACAAGCTAAAGCGCTGGAGTAATTACAAGCAAAGCCAAATGCACCAGATTTGTGCCTAGGTTCTGGAAACAGTAGGCTAGTCACTCATTTTGTGTTGGAGGAGATCGGAACCACAGCTGAGCAGCCTCGGTACAGCATTTTCCAGCATCCAAGGATGGAGGGCTTTCCTTCCCCTTTCGTCACCAGGACAGCCGGATGGCTGCTGTTCACTGCTGCCAATGAAAACTCACAACCCATTTTAATCCATAATCAGATATGAAGTGAGCAAGTTCCTCTAGGAACCCAGTCATTTCTCACATTTCATTCTACGGAAAATGGAAAGGTTTTCTGGTCGTCTAAACTTAGGTAACATTGGCTAAATCAGCTAATTAGGTTTCTTTATTGAAAAACTTTTGGAGAGCCGTTAATATGTCAATAGCAAAGTCTTCAAGGAGGTACAGACATAGGAGGCAGCGGTTCCCAGACTCATTTCTATGACGGAACACTATTTGAGAAATATTTACAGAGCCAGCACTCTGAGGAACATACTTAGAGAAATGCTGGTCTCCTGTGGGTTCACATAAGCCTTTAATCTCTCGGGATGTTGCAGCAAAACTGGCAAAGTTATCTTCCTAGAGACTGGTTCTGGTTCCTTCCGTAGAGAAAGTCAGATCAAGCCACCACTTAATGAAGCAAACTGAGTCCCCACATAGGAGGTAGCAGAGCAGCACAGAGGTGAGAGCCCAGCCTCTGGCACCAGGCTACCTGGATTTGAATCCCAACTCCATCACTGACCAGCTTGGGCAAGTTCCTTAACCTTGCAGAACCTTGGTTTCCCCATTACTACAAGGGAAATAACAATAGCACCAGCCCCACAGGGTTCCAATGAGGGATGAATGAGTTAACATACGTAAAGTACTTTGAATGGTGCTTGCACATAGTACAATCTAAAAACCCCTGTTTCTTATTGTTGTTATTTTCTCCCACTCTTCTCTATGAGTGCACGTCTGTGCTTCAAAGCAGTTAAAATAAATGAATATGACTGGTGGCACTTACTTTAGCGTCTGAGCTTTAAAGTCAAACTTGGCTCTGGCAGGTCTCATCTAAACACAGGAAACAGTGACAAGTTAAAATCACAATTTATGCATAATGAAAAGGACACACGTTTACAAGTTTCCGGAAAGCAAAGCAGAAAAATCCACCCTAACCAGTTCACTCTGGTGTCGAAATTTGGGCAGAAATCTACTTGTCTGACCTTAGCAGAGCACTACATGGACGTTCAATCAGCTATGCCACGCGTGAGGATCTCCCTACGGAGGGGCAGATGTGGGGAAGAGATGGTTAGAAAAGTCCTAAAGTTGAAATGCTGGTCCCCGAGGCTGACACCACTATTTAAAAAACAAACAAACAAACAAACAAACAAAACCCAGCCAGAAGTCCTGAGACATTCCTTATCTAACTGTCTTAGTCTTTGGGGAACATGTTCTCTTTACCTGACTTAAATTATGACCTGCAAGTAAATGAACCCTGAGTGACTTCTCACATCACCTCCAACTCCACATATTTCTCCAGGTCTGTGAAATCATCCAAAAAAGCCAGATAAAGCGAGCCCTGAGCTCACGCTCTTCCTTCCAGGCTTCCATTCTTGTTAGGTAGCCCTCTCCTCCTAGACCCCCAAGACTGGAAGTCATCCACAGCCCCCATCTCCACTTTGTCATCGAGCCTGTCATTAAGTCACGCCAACCCTCCCTCCGTCCCTTCCACAACCCCACTCAGGTCTGACCTCTATTTCCCACAGGCACAGAGCTTCCTTTGACTTCAGTTCTCTTCACTCTAATCTACTGTCACTCAGGAGCACAAATAACATTCCTCAAATACCTCCATCACATCTCTTCCTTGCTTTGAAGTTGGCCCAGTCTCTCAACTGTGCCTCAGATCAACTCTCAATTCCTGAGGTGGGTTAAGGCCTTTGGGTCATTTCTCCCCACTCATACCTAACCGCCTTTATCTCCTATGACACTTTTCCTGTCCCAGTCAGGCAAATCTACTTGCTGCACCTTGTCTAGACACCGCTTCTCTGTCTGGAATTTCCTCATCTCCAATTCCAACAAAGAGAGCAAAAGGTTCCCTTTTACTTACCATGTTTATTTGTACATCTTTCTTCCCCACCATTAAAAGTGGGGAATTTTTTTAAAAAGAAGAAAGATAGAGGGGAGAAATCATGAGAGCAAGCAGTTTACAGCTGCCAGTATAATGCTGCCCCAGCCATGAGCAGCTCCAACCTTTTCAACTGCTATAACTTTCTGGTATAGGGAAACAATGTGATGAAAATTAAATTACATACTTCCTCTTCAATATTAGAAGGCATGGACAAAGCAGAGGGGAAAAATGGGAGACTCTATGTGAGGAAAAAAATGGTTTTTAGAAGCTTCATGAAGCTTAGTTTTAGATCCTGATCCCTTAGTGAAATGCCCCATATTTCCAGGTTCCTCAAGCTGGGGTCTTACAGGGATCTTCTTTAAGGCCATGGATTCTCCACAGGAATTCTTTTTAATTTTGCATTTTCATGTGATGTTTCCATCTACCTACCATACATATTAGAAGTCAACTGAATGACGACCTTATAATCAATGTCACAGATTTCAATGCCTGCCTGTGACCAAAGAGTTGTAAGCAAATAAGAACAAGTGTGGAGTTAATGATAAACGACAAGTTCACAAGAGAAAGCCAAATGACCGACGTTTTAAGCACAAAAATGTCAGTGATTCCAGTTTAAAAAAGTGGGGGGCGGGGGGCTGGTTGACAGCCAGCTGTAAAGCCGTATGAACTTTAAAAAAATTTACACCAAAACAGCACGATATTCACACTCTGAGTGGCAACTGAGTTCAGGCAAAATTATATCAACCATCAGTTAAATTAATAAAACCCAACCATTTGATGACTAGCCAGTGGTGCCTCTGTCACTCAAAAGATAGGGATATGAATATTAATCAGTTCTCAATTAAATTTATAGTTATTAAATAAAAACTGTATACGTGTACAGTTTACTATTTAATTTGTAAATTGGCTTAGGTCAACCCAATCGGGTTGGTGAAAGTTTTTTTTCATCAAAGGGAATCCATACATTATTCAAGATTGAGAAACACTGATTCCACTGAACTCTTAAGACATATTATATGAGTCATATTGCCTATACAAAGCATCATCTCCTTCTTTATCTTCCTCCATCCTCCTGAGGCTGAATCGATCTTTTCCTCCTCTGGTTCCCAAGGCATTGTGTTACTTATTACAACAGAGGTAACTGTTCCGAGGGTGCCTCTTCCACTAGACTGCCAGCTTCCCAAGGGCACAGTCTGAGTCTTGTTTCTATCCCCTCACAGGGTTCTGGGCAAATTAGTGGTCATCCAAATTCTGCTGAATGGTACAGAAGTACATCTACATAGCCTGGTGTACCTGGGACTCATTGGTCTTTATTGTCCCATGTCTGTCAGTCGACATCTAGGGCAGTGATTCTCAAAATGTGGTCCCTGAACTGCTCAGAAATGCAAATTCTCAGGCTCCACCCCAGAATCAGAAACTTGGTGGATGGGGCCCAGCAACCTGTATTTTAACAAGCGTCTAGGGGATTGTGACACACTTAAGTTTGAGAACCTCTGCTCTAGAAGGGAGGCAAGGCAGGTTAGGCAGAGTTTGCCTGCCTCTGTCCATGGTTATTGTGCCCTGGTTGCATTTCATTTGCATGTATTATCTACACGTGGGTTAGGCAGCCCTAGGGTGCCTTTGCATGTTCCCAACTTCTCCATCACTCACAACCAGGTAGGCCTGGGAATGAGGATAACCCATCACTAGAGCCTTCAGAACAGGGTGGTATTCAGGAGCTGGAATGCTGAGGGCTGGCGGTTGTCCTTCACTTGCATCTGAGTAACTCCTGCTAATTTCTGCCTCCCCTTATTACATTTTATTTTTCTCTATCACCTTAGAGTCTCTTTCCCCTCTCCAGCTTTCCTTCTTCTAGTCTGGTTCCCCCTTTTCTCTCTTTGTTACAGTCACCTTCTATTTCTTTAAAAAAAAAAAACAAATCCCAAACCATTTGATGAACAGCCAGTGGTGCCTCTGTCACTCAAAAGATAGAGACGGAGTATTTAATTGGCTATTAACACTGAACGATTATACAACTGTATATACTTTGGTGTCACTGCCCCATTTCCCCAATCCTCCCCAAGCCCCAGGCACACAGGCTTCCCTGAAAGGAGCTAATCTTCAGCAGGGCTACTTAAGGATCACGTGGCCAAACAAACGCTGATGCAAGCTGCGGCATTTGGCCAGCACAAGAATTTCAATATGTTGACCTTCACGCAGGAGGCCAAGGCCTGGATAAAATCACTTCAAAGGCTTGTACTTCTTTGTTCCTTGTATAATATGAAGTTTCATAATTTCAGCTGAGAAACGTCAAAATTAAGGCAACAAAGGAGATCTCTCTCAGAGAGCGCTTACCCTCCGTGGCTTACCCTAACTGCAAAAACGGTCTGGCTTTCAAAATTCCTCAGTGAGGCTTCAGCTCTACTGAACACTTCAGTCAATTAAATCGTCACAGGATACCAAGTGGCTGCATTGCATGTAATACAAGTTTCACTAAACCATCTTTTCAAAGAAGAACCTCGTAATTGTCCACCCCATAGCTACTAATGCATATGAACTAAGGTATAGGTTTCTAAGCAAAGTGCACAGGCAACACAGTCTCATGATAAAATGCAGATGGAGAAGACCAGACTCATGAAGGCAGCCGATGCTCTAAGGCATGCATTCAGGTTGTGCGCCAGCAGATCCCGGTCCCGCAGCCAGGCATGCTTGGACATACAGAGCACAGGACATGATGGGAATCATGTCCACCGACCAGCCAGAGAAGAGCCAAAGCAAGCCTAAGGGAAGCCAGGATGACAGATGCTGTCTGGAGAGGTAATTTGGCCTACAGAGGGCAATGCCGAGGGAAGGCAAATATTGCTTTGGGTCAAGCAGCAGATCGAGGTGACCAAAACAGACCTCTGACCCAGATTTCCTTTTTGCTGTATCGTCTATATTGAGGAGGTCCCCAAAGCGCTCATTAGTGATAAATTGATGGTGCGTCGGAATGACGCCCGTGTGGCGTCGAGCTGCAATATCGGCTTCCTCTTGCTCACGCTTAAGTCGTCTCTGGTCCGCTAAAAGTTTCTGCCATGAAATTGCATAAAATGGGCTGTGAATCATCTGGTCCAGGGTATTGGAAAACTGCCAACAAAAACAACTAAGGAAAAAGGTGCTGGGTCAATAGGGAGGAAACATGTTGGGGGGGCTTTATGGCCGCAACTGCAAGGTTCCCGCTGTACCCACCCACGTGCGCTCTGTGTAGGGAGGAGACAGCGCTGCGGGGAGAAACCGGGGGAGCACTGGGCTGCGGGGAACGCTGGGTCCCATACGGTTACGCTGTCTGCAGACTATCTCCCAGCTCAGCCAAAAGCCTCCTGCCTCCTGGCACAAGGCGGCCAGGGCATCCAGGGGGTCCGTCCGGAGCATTCACGAGCATGGAGCACGGTGGGAGGCTGGAAGTGCTATCCTTCCCTCACTCAGGCAGTGATGAGTTCCCATAGTGGGACCAGGGCTGGCTGATTCCTCCTCCTCAAATCAGGCTATTAAAACTGCTGTGGGCTTTTATTGTGTGGTTCTGTGGCAAGCAGGTCGTCTTTGTGCTTCCTATTCCTGCTACTTTATGCTCAAGAGAGTAGAGATACCCATTTCAGAAAACGTGGCACCCCTTCTCCTAGGCCAGCCAACCCTTCCTCCGAGTACGGTTGTTAGGAGGCCTCAGCACATGCACCGAAGGCTATTTATGTGACTGACAGAAAGCATCACTTACCTTGTACTTCCTACTTAACTGTTTCTTCCTTAGGTGAAATGAAACTGAGTTTAAGGGAACGAGGTAGACTATAAATGCAGGAGATAAACTAAGAATAATGGTACCTGGGTTTAGAAGAAATATTCTCTCCTAAATTAAGGAAATAGTCATCTATTTCTATTTTTAAAGGCCTTTTAAAATAATTAAACAAGGTTCCATTTAACTAAATGTCCTCATTGACTACTGAAAGGACCCTATGGAAGAGAATTTTAATGTGTTTTCTTACTCCATACCAATCATACCTTCCTGGGATTAATATTCTTTGCAGGAAAGCATTGATTAGTACTGATCATTCTGAGCATTCTCAATAACGCATTAGTCTTCTCCCAGCAGGTAATTAAATGCCTTAAGTGACACCTAGTCCCAAAGGATGGTGGGCCCACTCCTCTATTCTTCTCCAGGGTCTACCAGTAATAAAGCAATAACTCGTCAAATGGCTGTGGGATTCCCAGTGCTCAGGTAAGTTGTGGTAAAGATTAAACGAGAAAAGACGTGAGAAAGTGCTTTGTGAAGCACGGTCGAGCCCTGGTTTCCAGCTCTGCCTCTGGTACAAGGTAACTGGCTATGTGGCCCGAGGCAAGCCACTGTCCTGTGGCAGTCCTTTCCTGGATAAAACAAGGGAATTGCCCAGATGACCACTAATGTCCCTTCCAGGACTGACAGGCTCTTGTTTTCTGAAATGCCATTATCATCAATGTTAATAAGAAGCCACTTGCATGGAAAAATGCCAGGACTGGCATTCCCTGAGCTGGGACATGTGAGTTGTTTCTGTAGCAATGGGAATGGACAGATGCAAATGGAGCAGAGCTCCCTACCCAGTGTGTGACTCTGACCTCAGCAAATCCATCATTCCCATAGTTTAAACACATAAGCCAAAAAACAGGGAGAAAGACCCAAGGATCTGTGAGCCAGCGTCATTCAGGAAACAAGCTGCTCACCCTCTAAACTGCTAAACCAGCAAAGTAAAATCTGCTTCCCATGTGGCAGGCAAGAATTCTACCACGAAACCTGCCATGTTGGATGCTAGGGTTTATCATCCTGAAATGGAATGTCACCTTCCCTCATCACAGCAGGCCAGGCTTCGATAGGTAGAATCTTGTATCTCAGTGACAGTGACAAAAAGGAGTCTGTTCTGTGGCCAGATGGACGTCCACTGTGAGTTTTTCACCATGCTATCACAAATAATTCTGTCCATCAAATGCTTCCTCCTGTTTCTTTCCACAGACAGGCGCAAATGTCTTACTGAGCACTGTCTGTATTGTGCCCAGAGAAGGGCAGAGCTGTGGTTTTATTTGTCCTTTGTCTCTCTAGCTGGCAGCAATGATTGTTACCCTCCAGCTCTCTTCAATGTCAGCCTTACCCTAAATCCTTAAGGAAAATCCCCGTAAGCTCTGAAACCAACTCAACAAAACAGCACAACACAGAAAAAGGGCTTCAGACTTTACGGGGAAAGGGACAGAGTTGCATACACACGAACACCTTCCCTTGCTGCCACCAGGTTCAAAGCAATTCTTCCATCTCTTCATTGCAAGAAAACACTCATCAGAGCTTGTTTAAGCTATAGGACCCTTTCTTCCGGGAATGCAAAGTCTAGAAAACATGCCTCGTCATAACACTTCATCACAACAGCAGCTTGTGATTTTGCCCATTCAGCTGATGTGCAGAACTACCTCTTCCTAAACCCCAAGAGAACGCGTTCCTTTCCCGGCCCCGTCAGTCAGATTGCTGCAGTACAGACATTTCAGTAGCTGCAGGACAAGGTCTATATCCTGAAGTTCTGGGGGAGAGGGGTTATCAACGTTTATTGGGGTATCTCTCTTCTTCTGAGTTAAAGGCAACTTCTTCAAACTGTTTTTATAAAATGTATCATGGGCATTATTCTTTTTCAGTTTCCTCTTTCTCCTACTGCATATTTCTCAATATGAACTGTGCTTTGTGCCAATAAGAGGATGGATTTCCCTGGAGAGTAATAAGGCGGGGGTTAGGGGGAAGGACTCTAGGTTCCCCTTAAAAGGCACTGAATGCAGTGGTGGGCAAGCTCTTTCTGAACTTCCCGGGCAGATTTGGCATTTGGAACTTAGCACCTTGGGGAAAATCAGTCCTACTCTTTGGAAAAGTGGACTAAAAGAGGAGTGACTGAGCTCATGTCATATAAAAAGTCACCTGTGAAAATCCCAATGTTTGCTTCTAACTGCTAGGCCAAGCCACCCCCCTGAATGTCTACTTCCTTCATATTTTTATCTGCACAAGAGCTAAGAGATTTCAAAGGGGGCGATTACCTCTTTATCATCATGACGTCTTCGAATAAATTCTTCTGTGGATTCCAAGTAATCAGCTGGTATAAAATGCCTTGGTGATTCTGAATCTTCAAAACAATAAAGTAAAGTTAAAACAGGCAAAGATTTAGTGGGAAACCAGATTGGGAAAAGATTTCACCTTTCATCCATGACAAATATCAAGTTTGTACCGTCGTCGTTTGGTGGTCAGTATTCAAATTCTGAAGGAAAAAAAAACAAATGCCCTCCCCCTCCCGATTTCTGGATTTACCTGTGAACTAGTTTCATACAAAGAAAACTAATCAGAGGCAAAAGGTGAGCAAAGAGAGGACCGTCTTTGAAAAGTGTCCCTATTAAGAGGCGTGCAGGATCTTACAGGGACACACACTGTACACTCACACACACATACACAGGGCCACCGAGAGAGGCTGCCTCTCAAAAAACCTCAGGGTGAATTGGGATTGGTGTGAACTGCAAGGGGTTCAGGAGTTCAAATGAACACATTTCTCAGATGAGCTAAACGGCCAATTTTTCTTTCGAAACAGAGTTTGGTGGTTAGTCTAAATGACATGGGGGATCTGTTTTTAAAGAAGTGCAGCCACTATGAGCCATGATTAATTGCCAAGCAAAACAAACAGAAAACAAAGGACGGACCAGAAAATGAGCACCAAGGGCACACGGGAGGAGGGAACAAAGCAAGCAGAGTGGAGAGATGGGTGAGGTGAGACTGGGCAAATACACAGAAGGCCACCTCCGAGGGACGTTCCCAGTTCACTTTGGGGGTTGTTGTTCCTGTCCAGGCTGTGGTCTGAGTACGGCAGAGAGTTCCCATTACTAAAGGCCGTCAGGCAGACCTCCGGGGCCGCGGGTCTCTCCTGAGGGGGCTCTGAGATCCGGCTCAGCCTGGCCATGGTGTGCCGGGAAGACAGCCGTCTGGGAACCAAGGGCCTCCCCCCGGAGGGGGGCTCGTCCTGATGGGGCTGAGACCCCCTGGGGGGGTCTGGCTTCTGGCCTGAGAAGTCCCCGGGACAAAGCTGTCTGGAGGGATGCTGGAAGGGCTTTTTCAACCGAAAAGGGAGGGGGCTCATTAGGTAGATGTTCCTGAGGAGTGTGCCCTTGTCCCCCCTGGGATCCGGGCGCCAGTCGGGCCGCCGGGAGGTCTGCTGCTGCTCGTGCCTACGGATGGTGGTGAAGCGGGTGTAGGAGGCCGGGCAGGTGCCCTTGCACTTGTTGAGGCGGTGTTTGGGGAAGTCTCCGTGAACGCTGCCGCTGCTGCCCTCTCGGCTGTCGCTGGAGATGTTTGAGCAGCGGTCCAGCTCGTCCGAGCAGGCGGAGAGCGGCTCGGAAGGCACGAGGCCCCTGAACCCCAAGGTGGGGTCCGCCGTCCGGCTACACGCTGGGGAGGCGTAGATGCCCCCAGGGTTCAGCCCGCCTGCCTCCCTGGGCCGGAGCTTGGTTGACTCCAGGAGGGACTCAGCCGAGCGGGCAGAGGTTAGGCCGCTCCGGGCCAGCATGGGCGTGGGGGACTTGCTCAGCCGGCCGGACAGGTCCAGCGACGGCATGGACCGGGACCGCTGAATCAGCTGCTCGAAAGCTGTGATGCGGGAGGAGACGGTGTGCTTGGGGACGTGCTCCGAGCCTTCCTGGTTGGGGCCCAGCTCGCCCCTGGCCAACGCCAGGCTGCTCCTCTCGAAGTGGGAGGCAAGATCCCGCACACTGGAGGAGGAGACGGACCCCAGGAAGAGGCCGGCCCGGTTGATCTGGTGCATATCTCGGTAGAGCATGGTGAACTGTGGGCCAGCCTTCCTCAAGAGTGGGCAGGGCCTCCTGGCGCTGGTGCTGTACTCCTGCAGGCTCATGGTGCTGCTCGACCTGCCATCGTAGTCCCGCCGGGAGCGCACGAGCAGGTTCTCCGCGCTGCCCCCCACTTGCAGGGGGAGGCCTCTTTTGGAATCATTCAGAGGAACCGAGACACAAAGGTTCTCACAGCTCTGAGCCTTTTCCGATGGCAACAGGACGCTCTTCTGATCCTGCAAAAGAGCGCTGGGAGCAGAGAGCCTGGGTTTGAATTTGGAGGGGAGGATTTCCGAAATGCAGGCTTTCGCAGCGGACAAGGGTTTCTTGTGCTTACACCCGGGGCCTAACGCACTGCTAGTGTGAACCGCTCGGCTATGAACTGAAGATGAAGAAATCATGTGAGCATTCCCACCTTTATGATCCACTGGAAAGCATGCAGAATAAAATAAACAGACCCATTAGGTTAAAGCTGAAAGCTACAAGAAAAAAAAAAAAGGAGAGGAAACATGCTCGTTGGTCATAAGGGGTGTTTTGTCTTTTGTTTTAATTTCCAGTCGATGTCCGGAAGCAAAATAATCTGTGCTGCAAAGCAGGTGCAAAGATGCAAAGAAAAATGGCCACCCTGCTAGAGTTAGGAAAAGCTCCGCTAATTTCTAAGACAAGGGAATCAGAACAAAAAAGAGAGAGATGCTTCAGGGAGAGCAAGGTTGGGGTTCAAAGGAAGGGAAACTATTCGTACCAGAAAGAAAAATGGCCGGTGAGATACTAGGGGAGGGGACTACAAGGGCTCCGTGGCCTGGAGATGGATCTCAACAAGTCAAAACTCATCCCAGTCGCTGGAGGTTCACCCTCGCTGTCATCACCCCAGGAATGGGTGTGGACGGGCGAGAGATATCCTGATAGCCGTGTGGATGGGCGAGAGGCCTGCAGGCTTCGCCCAGTTACCTTTAGTTGAGGCCGAGCTGGATGGCCTCTTGAGCCCACTCAGGCCCTGGAGAGGGATATCTCCTCCTTCCAAGACGCTTTTATAAATCTGCCTCTCATTCTCCAAGCTGGTAAGATCCCCGGGAGCCCCATCTGATTCCCTCTTCACCGCGTGGAAGTTGGAAGAATATACACTGAGAACAATGAAATTTTAAAAGAGAGAAGAAAAAAAAAGAGAGAGTAGGATTTAGTATTTTTAACAGTTTTCTAAAAAGCACATTACCAGCTGAGGACAAGGAAACACACTTCCTGGCATCCCAGCCAAGCACCGTTCCTTCTAAAGGGCGTTCTTAGTTAGACACAGAGCTCTACAGACAAGGCAGGCCCACAGTGCCCCGGAAGGCTCAGGAATCGTGTCTAAACAGCAAGGTGCTCTATTTGAGATGACTGCCTTGTGTTTTAAAAGAATAACTCTGAGAAACACTGCCTGGGGATGGAGGGCAGGAGGGGGGCCAGACAGGAGGAGGTTCTGGGGGCCCAGTGGTTGCACTCAAGATGGGACAGTCGAGGACATGAGTGGAGCTTCTGACATGTTGCCAGCCAGAGTTGGCCATTTCAGGTCCACCACCTGGATTATTTTTCTGGGTTGTTCCTCACAAGTGCTTTGACCAATGGAGCATTAAAATCAACAATGAGGGGCTTCCCTGGTGGCGCAGTGGTTGAGAGTCCGCCTGCCAACGCAGGGGACACGGGTTCGTGCCCCGGTCCGGGAGGATCCCACATGCCACGGAACGGCTGGGCCCGTGAGCCATGGCCGCTGAGCCTGCGCGTCCGGAGCCTGTGCTCCGCAATGGGAGAGGCCACAGCAGTGAGAGGCCCGCGTACCGCAAAAAAAAAAAAAAAAAAAAAAAAAAAAAAAAAATCAACAATGAAAGGAGGTGGCCCAGCTGCCTAGGGTCTCCAGGAAAATCAGCCCCCAGCTGCAACCGGAAGCTGGGATTCTATATATTCTTATCCCATCCACTGCTTTCAAAATTTGTATTCAGCACCTTATGACATGTATTATGAGTATAAACTATTGCTGGTTTATATCCTTCATTTATTTTTATCTTGTTGAAAGTCTAGGTATTTTTGCAAGTTACCACAAATCCTTTTTGGAATGAGGTGGGGCACAGAAAAAATTAAGAGCGCCTACTCGCTGAACCCTCCCCCTCCCCTAATTCCAGTTTTCTATGCCCTCCCCCACCAACACACTGACATGTGGGCACGCTCACACACTCACTCAGATCAGTGACAACCCCTTTTCCACAAAAGCACTCAGGCTCCTGCCAGGCTGCTTTTCAGTTCTACCAAATTCCATCTACCGGCATCAATATGGAATTTTTCCAGCTCTAAAGATGTAAACAGCTTGATGAAATTACTTCATCCCAATATTATGAATATTATCAAATGGAAAGAAACGTTTAAGGAATTACGACAGCGAACACCCATATACCACCCCCAACCTAGATTCTACAAGGAACGCTGGGCTGCATTTGCTTCCTCATACATCTGTCCGTCTCTTTCCTTCTATCCATGCCTCACCATACAATCATTTTTATACTTCCCGCAGACTCTGGGTCCCCAGAGTTACACACAATGACGGCAACAGCAGCCGTACACCCTGCTTGTTGAGATGGCCTATGTGCGGGGCACCGTGCTAAGTGGCCGATGATCATTCTCTCTTTAACTCCCACGAACGGTCCTACTTTCCCCATTTTCAGATGAGGACGAGCCACTGGGAGAGTCAGGCACTCATCAAAGCTGGCGCAGTCAGTGCACGGGCGGCGCTGGAACTTGAGCCTTGTCGTCGGGCACCACAGACGGTACTCTCGGCCGCTCTAACATTTCCCTACCACCTAGGAGGCAGCACCTTCCAAGAGCCCAGGCTTGCACATCACGGGGAAACAGGACTTAAGAATGCTGGAGCTCCGTGTGTGTCATCACTGCTGAGTGCTACCTGCCACGAGCATATCCAGAGCCAGGAGTCAGAAGTGGAAAAGAGGTGGAAATTCCGTGGTAGGACAGGCAATGTCTCTACCTCAAAGTAGTCAAGTTCCCCGGAGCAATTCCATTGCTTCCAGCACTGGTAACACCCCCTCCCAGTCACCAGCACTTCCCGGGCCCTTGCCATGTGCCCGCCACTGCTTGAAGGGCTTCACGTGCTCTATTCAGGGGACTGCCGGGCTATCAGGGCTCTCCCAGGCCCCTCCTCATTATCTCTGGCCTAGGTCAGGGGGTCAAATCTCTTCCCCTTTCCTCGGCCAAGACAGGAGAACATTATTGGGAATCTAAGGGGAAAGAAAACCAACCCTCAAAGCTGAGAACAAAAAGCATGTGAATATGGGAGTTCCCTGGTGGTCCAGTGGTTAGGATTCCACACTTTCACTGCCGAGGACGCGGGTTCAATCCCTGCTCAGGGAAGATCCTGTGAGCCCAGCGGCATGGCCAAAAAAAAAAAGAAAAAAAAAGGCACGTGAATGAAGTGAGTCTACATGCAGCCCTCCAGGGTTCGTGTCTCAGAGAGAGGCCTCTGGAAAGGTCGGGATGGGGGAAACACTCTTTATTTGCAGGCGCCCACTAGACTATCTCGGCCACGAGTATGCTCAATAAGTATCTGAGGAATGAATAAAAGGTCACATTTTCTGAAAGTAAAAATTGGCATGTATGATCTGATTAAGGATATGCTTTAATTTGCGAAATTATGTATTTAGAAATTCTTTTACAAGTATAAGGATTATATCGCATTCACTGAGGGCTCTTAGCTCCTGAAATCAGTGACCCTGGAGTCATCGGAGGGGTGGAAAGAGAAAAACTACAGGGAATTAGGACGGCCTGAGCTCAGGCTGGCTGTCCTTACTGGTGCCCGCCTGGTCCCTGCTGGGAGGTGCCCACTCTCACCCACAGGCTCTGGGACAATGCCTGCACCCATGCTGCTTCTGGCTCTCCTGCTTTTGCCTGCAGGTGGCGTTCACCGACGCCACCCAGGATCTGATTAATAAAAACCGTCACCTCTTGCTAGAGAGCTGAAGGAGCCCTAAAGGTGACTTGCAAGGTTGTGGCACTATCTGCCGATTTAAATACATGTAAGCTCTTCTAAACCGGCTCTAAGTATGAATTTCACAATGAAGGCAAATCTGCCCCTTTTCTAAACTTCCCCTTCACAGTCCACCCTCTTCTTTTTGGTTGCATTTTCTGATTTTGTCCTTCAGTTTAACCACGTTTCTCCTTTTTTGTACAACCTCAACTAAGGTCCATGCATAGATGTCCTTGAGGCTCACCGACTAACAGCCTTTTGCGAGGGGACAGTCTCTAAAGCCCCGCTCACCTTGGTCTGGGGTTACCAGACCTCCCTCGGCGCTGGGGGAGTGCCTGACGGCAGTTTCTATTCTGCTGTCCTTCCCCTTGAATTGCCTCAGCCTCAGTCAGAACCTCCCACCCAATGCCCCCTAGTTCCTCCTCACTTTGGTGCTGACTCTCGGCAGCAACCAGCTGCCTGACCCCATACCGCCTCTACTGCACCAGCTGTCAGAACATCCCTCCCTCCTGCCACTACCCCACCTCTGGCTTTAGTCCACCCGTTATCACCATTTGTTCCTGCTTCCCCACCAGAACAACAAACCAGCACTCAGGAAACCTCTCAGAATGGATTTGCTCTAGCCAATTGTTTTCTTTCTGATACCAAAGCCAGCATGCTTTTTCCACATGTATAACACTTTGCAACTGAGGGGCTCCTTGTTTCAAAACAGTATCTAAAAACTCTTGACCAATGTTTTTAAATATATCATCTCCGGCAGACCTAATGTTGGAAAGACGTATCATTTGTCCCACTGTCCCCAAAACCGAGGACCAGAGGGGTGAAGGCATTTGCAGAAGGTCACAGAGTTCCTGGGTCTTTGCTGTGTTCAAACAGATCAGAGAAGATGGGAAAATGAGCCAGGCTGATGGAGGAAAGCCCGATCAGGACGAGCAGCCACCAACTGCTTCACAAAACAAGTCGAATTCAGAAGCTCAGCCCTCAGTAGCCTGAGCTGAGCTGTTTTCGGTTCGGAAAGAGCAAGCCGGGGTGGGGGACACTGCGGAGAACTCACCCTCTGGCTGAGATGCAGAGCTGGCTGCTGAGTTTCAAGGGGGATTGAATAAAAACACACTCACCGAAAGGATAAAGTGAGAGAAGAGAGCAATCATCTTAGGCCCAACCGTTTCAATCGTGCTACCAGGAGGGCTCTGGAGGAGACAGGCAGGGTCCTGGCAGGCTGTGATTCCAGCCCGGCTCCAACGAGGAATGTGATTGCTGAGGCAAATCCACTCTGTTTAAGAACTTGGAAACAATCTGGTTCTCTCAGCCTCAATTTCTTTCATTTGCAAAACTAAAAGGTGCAAAGAGACTGTCCATGAAATCCACGCTCAAATCTGTAATCTATGTAGACCTTTCTTTTGAGTTCCAGACACAGACATTTAACTGCCTTCTACACATCCTCACCTACATGGTCCTCAGGCATCTTAAACCCAACCTGTTCCAAACCAACCCCAGCCCTGTTCCTCTGTCTTCCTTCACCCAAGCCAGAAAGCCAGGGGAATCAACCCCTTTCTCCCTCCCCTTGCTCCCCAGACCTAAGCAGTCACCAGGTCCTGCTTACTCCCTGCCCTCGACACAGCTCACATCAATTCTTCTGCTCCTTCCCTCCCGGGACTGCTCACGACCACTGACCACTCGTCTGTACCTCTGCAGGAAGCACAGCACCACTCCCCGAGCCTGCAGCTCTGACTCCCTCCAATCATATCTGCAAATCACTGCCCATGATATTTCTAGAGAACATCTCAATCTGTCCTTCCACTGCTGATTTTATTCATGCCACAAATATTTACGCAGCACCTACTAAGTGTCAATCACTCTCCTAGGTGGAGATTCAACAGAGGACAAAACAAAAAATTCCAGCCTCACTGTTTAAAACCATTTGGTGGTTGGGCTTCCCTGGTGGCGCAGTGGTTGGGAGTCCGCCTGCCGATGCAGGGGACAAAAAACATTTGGTGTTTTCAGGAAAAAAAAAAAAGAAAGTAACTCTTTCTAGACTTTGGGGAAGGGAGTCTAGACAATCTTAAAGCCTTTTGTACTGCATGAAAAAATTTTTTTGTATTTATAATGTAATGCTACTGTCATTCACTTTTTATTTGCTGCTGCTCTATAAAACCTTTCTTTCATTCTCCCCAAAACAGAGATGCTCACTCCTTCTTGGGTCCCATCATTGAATTGACCACACTGCATTCTGACTGTCATGTGCAAGTGTCACTTCCCAATGACACTCTGAGCCCCTTGAGGCCAGGCAGTTTATCTTACGAATCATTGCATGCCTGGTGTCTAGCACTGTTGTTCACCAAATACATATTAGTGGAAAAAATGATTCTATGAAGTTACATGCCTACAAGCACACAGATTTCTGACATTTTTAAGGCCCAGGGGAGTCTCTAATCTTTCATGTAGCTCTTTAGGTAATGATTTGTGTTTTGATCTTACATTGGATTAAGGGAAATAATGTTTTCTCTAGTGGACCATCACCATTTAGGAAAGAGCAGCTTGTTCTTGAGTGCCACCTGCTGGCCAAATAGAGTAAAGCTCTTTGGTTAGGCAAAAAAATGTATTCGTGCCAATCAATGCCGAAATGATAAGTCATGATGAAAATATACCGCTGACTTACAGATCTGATAACTCCAGGGAATTAAATTCAAAACGGGACATACACTATGATTACAAGTATGAAAGATATATTTTTTGAGAGGAAGGACTGATGTTGTATTAGGATATTGGGGCTATGGGTGAATTTCTTCCTTTCTCTTCCCAGGTCCTTCTAATATTGTGATATGGAACCATGCTAATAAAATGCTAAGCTGCAGTCTGCTCAAGATGTGAAAGTAGATTTAAGACAACACCATCACTTCTCCAGTGACCACAGAGTTTTTGATCCTGGAGTATCGGTGACTCCTCTTTCTTCAGCCCTTGGGTTAAGTAAGTCAAGCCTTGCCAACGTTTCTTTCACGTTTCGTGTCCATGCAGTGAAAGGGGCCAGATTCCGTTCACAAGCAGCCTGCCTCAGTGCTAAGCAAGTTGGATTCTAGTTAATTAAGATTCACAGATGCATTCATTTATTCAACAAACTCTTACTGTTCATTTTCATACGTATCAGGCACCGCACTTATGTTGACTCCTCACCAATTCCAAATACTGAAAAACCTAACCCATTTGAACAAACTGGGAGAAAACCAAGCCTGAATTACTGAAAAATCCCCACATGGAAGAACAGCAGGAGGGAAAAGCTCATCTATTCCTGTCAAGTGTTTCATGAGAGCTGGGCTATGGCTGAAAAACAGAGGTCTCTGGACCTATTTCCATGATACAAATACAGTGCTTGGTAAATTAGCACATCAAATATCTATGTACACCAGTACTCAGAGTGTCTGAAAGCAATCTGCTCTTTTAAAAAGTCTGCATGAGTCCCCCTCAATCCTGCTAACCCACTATTACACAAATGGTTAAGTTGTTTTTTTAACTGCTCAAAACAGTAAACCCTAGCATGCCTTTGGTTAATTTATTACCCAATTTTGAATCAGTACTAGTGCAGGTGAGAGTTTACTGCTGCCACCAGCAGATCTTGGCAGTCTCCTGGCCTAGAACGTCATTGCTCCTACTCTGGTGGTAGTTCTGCCACACACAGCTGTGGAACCTGGGCACATACTACCTTTCTGTGCTTGTTTCCTCACCTATAAAATGGGGATAAAAAATAACGCCTGATCCTGAAATGTTGAGGACTAAATGAGGTAAGGTATATACGATGCTACGCACAGGGCCTGGCACATAGTAAATGCTCAATCAGTTGTTAAAATTATCATTTCATTCAAGACCTGCGCTCTTAACTCTGATATCCTGTGGGAGCTGCCTTCTGAATACTTTTAACCTCTACAGTCTATTTCATTCAGTTGCCACATTGCCTTTTTATTTACTAACTTTTTTTTTTTTTTGCGTGTTTTGCCCCTGAAACTATTAGGGGACTGCACCTTATGGTCCTATTAGAATATCCAGCATAGGGACTTCCCTGATGGCGCAGTGGTTAAGAATCCACCTGCCAATGCAGGGGACACAGGTTCGAGTCCTAGTCCAGGAAGATCCCACATGCCGCAGAGCAACTAAGCCCGTGCACCACAACTACTGAGCCTGCGCTCTAGAGCCCATGAGCCACAACTACTGAGCCCTCGTGCCACAATTGCTGAAGCCCACGTGCCTAGAGCCCATGCTCTGCAACGAGAAGCCACTACAAGGAGAAGCCTGCGCACTGCAACGAAGAGTAGCCCCCGCTCGCCACAACTATAGAAAGCCCGCACACAGCAACAAAGACCCAACGCAGCCAAAAATAAATAAATTTATATTAAAAAAAAAAAAAAGAATACGCAGCATAGTGCCTTAGATCCGGTAGAAATTCACTCAGCCAGCCACCTGAAGCAATTTTTCACCAAAATACCCTAATCCCAGCTCACTGACTTTCAAATGAAACTACTCTTGCAAAATGCCTTCTTTGGCAAGATATGATAGGTTGGATACGCCCAAGTGACCATAACATTTGCCCCCATAAACTCAGCATTCAGACCAAGTCAGGCTTCTATTTGAAGAGGTGAACTTTGCTCATTGTGGACTTACCCAACCCAAATGGAACAGGTAATAGTGTGCCTTTCCTCCTTGTCATATTTCAAAGAATGAGATACAGATGGTGATATAATGGTGATGAGATGAGAAGCTGCTCCTACCAGAACAGCTCCCAAATCTATAGGGTGCACCAGGCAGTATGGAGATGCAGTCCTTGCCCTCATGGAGTTCATAATTTATTATAGTTATAAAAATACAAGAGTATAGGGCTTCCCTGGTGGCGCAGTGGTTGAGAGTCTGCCTGCCGATGCAGGGGACAGGGGTTCGTGCCCCAGTCCGGGAGGATCCCACATGCCGTGGAGCAGCTGGGCCCGTGAGCCATGGCCGCTGAGCCTGCACGCCTGGAGCCTGTGCTCCGCAACGGGAGGGGCCACAGCAGTGAGAGGCCCGCGTACCGCAAAAAAAAAAAAAAAAAAAATACAACAGCATAAGTCAGGTAGACAGCAACAGAAGTAAGTGCCATAAGAGGTACTAATGTGAGACTGGGTATAGGAAGGACCCGTCAGGGCCCATCGATACAAGCTGAAGTGCTGGCTATTCACCGTGTTTGTAAGGGTAGGGAGCAGCACGGAAGCATTTTCGGCTGGGATAACACCTGCACAGTGAAGTACTAAGACAGGTAACCTAGGAGAGGACCTGGGATGGTTTGGGGACGGGAAAGGAGTCTGGTGGTCAGCCCATGAAGAAGTGCGTGGGGTGTGCATTCATCACTCAGGCAGAATTCTAAGAATTGGTATGGGGGAATAAACCAGGATCTCTGAGAATCAGACACGTTAGCCCCCTCTTGGCCCCATCCTTCCTCATGATAGGTCCAGCCTGAGGACCTCACCCCACCCCCACCTTTATACCAGACGTGGCCTTAGTCACCCACTCCGTTCCCCCAAAGATCAGCACACATTCTAAAGGTAAAGATGCCAACACAGGGAAAAGCTTATCAAAGGTGATATGAATCAACACAAAATTAATTTGGAAAAGGAGGGGGAAAAAAATAATTTGAGGACGATAATTGCTACTTATCACCAAACTGTACGTCATTCAAATTCACTAGACTGGTAACAAAATACAACACAAGCCTCTTCCCGTTTCTGATATTTAATACATCAAGCCATGTAAAGAGTGATAACTTACTATCCAGGAGGCTCTGAAGAAATTTCCGGAGTGGGGCTGACTGCTGAGCTCTGTAAATGTCAAAAAAAAAAAAAAAAAAAAAAAAAAAAAAAGAATGTAGATGACTTACTTCGACTCAGATATTTCAAGCCAAGGGGAAAATGAGAGAAGTCCTTTTCCTTTCCTAATTTAGATAAAGCCCTCTGAGAGATGGGGGGCTCGGCTGGTAAGGTCTCAGTGCTGGCGGAAGGCAGTGCTCTTTCTCTAGAAGGATTTCTGGGCTTTTGCCTCCCAGTGGCTGCAACCAGGGCTCTCTGGGTGGGTCGGGAGACGCCCCACTCCTTAACATTTATCTCCAGTCGCAGGCCCACTGGAAAGATGGCCCACCACTTGGCAAGAGGCACTAGTGACACGGACAGCACCCTCCAGCAGCTTATCCCCCCACCCTCGGAGCCAGACTCCTTCATGCACCCACATGCCTCAACCAGAGTGTCACCCAACACTTCAGGTACGGAACATACAAAAATGCATTTTACGGTGCTTTGTGTCCACCTAGGCGGGTGGGATAGGGAGGGTGGGAGGGAGACGCAAGAGGGAGGGGACATGGGGATATATGTATGCCTATAGCTGATTCACTTTGTGATACAGCAGAAACTAACACACCATCGTAAAGCAATTATACTCCAATAAAGATGTTTTTAAAAAAATGCATTTTAAAAGACTGTACTTTTAGATCATTTATTTACCCCTGCAGATTGAGAGGTGTGGAAATGGGGAGAAATGCAGTTTCACAAAACCTATTAATCACCATTTCAGCGTGACGGGAGGGAACATATTATCAAATTACAGGCCCCTATGCACAAGGAAGAAAACCAAGAGTCTATGCAGAGAAAAAGCAGCATAATTACAGAGTTTAGGGTTTCTGTTGTCTTGGAGAAAGAAAGGCAAAGGGTTCAATATATTTGTTTTTAAAAATAATGTGTTAGTTGAATACATCAACATGAAAGTTAACGTTTAAAGATGCTCCTGGGAATTCCCTGGCCGTCTGGTGGTTAAGACTCTGAGCTTCCACTGCCGAGGGCACGGGTTCGATCCCTGGTCGGGGAACTAAGATCCTGCAAGCCACACAGCGCGACCAAAACCAAAAGCTCCTACCTCTACTAATGACCACTTCAAGGAAAACAAGCTCTGCGGAGGATAAGAGGTACTTGGGGAAAGGAGAGAAAGAAAAACACCAGGAGAAGGAAAAGGAAGAGATTGGGAAAGAGGGAGGATGATGGGAGGGGAGGCAGCCTTCGTCAGGGGCTCACCCCCGGCCCTCCTCTGCCCTCCACCCCCCTCTACTCCTGAGAAGGCACTGCTCTCACCGCCACACCCATCCTTCCAGCCCCTTTGCCCGCACTGGTCTCCCAGCCTTGGCACCTGCCCCGTTCTGGGTCTCCATCTTGGAAGAACTTTTGCACAACCCTGCTGAGTCCTCTGGAAACATCTCCCTTCCTTCCTTCCACAATCACATGTTGCCGATCAGTGCTGTATCCCTGGGGGCTCCCCTGATTCTTCACCACATACTCTCCCTCCCATCAACTACTTACCCAGCAACCACCAAAGTTTTTAGAAACCTCATGGTTACCAAATGCACTGACCTTCCCTCAGAGTCTATTTTTGGGGGACCCCTTGGGCAACTCTCATACTTGCTCCACCTCTCACGTTTCCTCCTCACTCTGGTTTTCTCTGACCCGCCCCTCCTCCTATTCTGTGTCATCCAACATCCCGATGGGTAGCTGCCTGTCTCCCATCCTTTCTCTCTGCATGACTCTCTCTTCGATCTGTAATCTACTCCAAGGGTGGGTGTCTCCACCTGCTCCCAGGGCTTCAACCATCACTTCTCTTCAGGTGACTCGGATTGACTTTCAACGTCCCTGCCTCTCATGGGACCTAGTTTTCTATTTCCAACTGTGTACTGGATATTCCCTATATGATACCAAACAAACACCTCGAAAATAAACTACCTAAAACCACCTCCTTCATCTTACCTCTGCACTGATTTTCTCCCCACCTTTCTTATGTGACATACTGATGTCCCCATTCTTCCAGGTTCCTGGTCAAAACCCTACAGTTGTCTATGTCTCCATCCCATTACCCCAACTCTTTGTTCTTCACACCAATTAAAATGTCCCACTGCAATTTCCTCTGTGATTTCACATCTACCCTCATCCCGTCATGCTGGTGCCACTGGAGTACTCACCCCTACATGCCTGGACTGCTGCAGTAGCCTCCTTGCCCTCTCAACCTCCAACTGGAGGTTATCCCTTCAGTTCAACCTCTCTAGAGTGAGGACACTAACCTTCCTAAAACACTAGTCCTGAATCACATCATTGACTTGAGGGCAAAATCAACCATCTCTTTAACCATATTTTTGGAGTCTCTACAACCCAGGGTCAACCCTCTTTTCCCAAACATGCCTTCCACTGTTATCACCCCAAATTTTCTATTACAGATGAATTCATCTACTTTATTCCTGAATCCATCCTAAACACGTTCACTTTTGTGCTCTCTACCATGCCTCAAATGGATGGCCCCCACTTCTGCCATGTACCTAAATTCCATCAATCCCTTAAGATCTTGGCCAACTCCTGAGAAGTCTTCCCTGATTTCCTGGAAGATTTCCCCCTCTTCTGAGCACTTAGAGGCTGTGGCGTTCATTTAGCTCTTACCAGGCATTGCTGTGCACTGTTGGAGATCTTTTATTTATGAGTGTGACTAAGCTGTCACGTTCTTGAAGGCAAAGTCCACTCTTGTGCTGATTTAGAACCTCCCTCAGCACGTCACACACATGCTAGGGACTACGGGTAACGCATAATTGAACCAATGTCAAGATGACTCATTCATGCATCAGACACCTCTTCGGGCCCACCTAGCCCCAGGCAGGGTTGTAGGTACTGGATGTCATCTCTGCCCCAAGGAGGCTGCAGTCACTGCAGTAGTTCTCTAGCTGCTGTCCATCCTGCCACACGTTACAGAACCACTCTTATTACAGTACTTTGAAAAAAGTGCCTGCTGATTCACTTCCCCTCCGGCCCCCCAGCTCACTTCAGGACTTACCTGCAGCCACAGTTCTCCTTTAGACCCAGCTCAGACCTCCATTCCCACAGCAGCTACAGCTGGTGCCAGTCTCCGCCCTGGTTGGAGACTCAGCTCCCCACTATGCCCACCCCGTCACGCATCTGCCTGATTGCATGCCCTGTCGCTCACCTTCTGTGTTCCCCTGGGCCTAACCGCTGGTCCTGCTGGCTACCTCATCCTTCGGTGACTCTCAATTCCCAAACCCTAACTCCCCTGCATCAGCTTGCAGTGCTTGGCTTCTGCCCCTCGTATCCCGGGCCCCCCTGGCTGCGGCCATAATCACCTGCTTTGAGTCTCTGGCTCTACATGACTTCGTACCCAAGTCACACACACTGGTGGCCTGACCCTCCTTGTCTCAGTTCTGCTTAAGAATAACATGGTCCATTAGCATTTTCCATTTCTCCTGCCACAATCTGTGGCCGTCCTAGCCTCTTCAGCAGTGTCCGCATTCCTTTTTTTATTTTCTATAAAGATACCCTTTCCTTGTAAGCGTCTCCTTTGTTTTGTCAGGGAACCCTGGGGGTAGTTCTCCAAACATTTGGTATTTTTCTTCGCCTTGGGAGCCCATTTACCCTGGACTCTCTCTCTTTCTGACACATCCTTTAATAAACCACACTGGGACATAGCTCCCTTTAAAAATATCAATGTAGGCAGAGTTTCAAACGCTTGTGGCCAGGCTGTCTGGTCCCCGGAGTGCATTTTTTCATTAAGAACTTTCTGACCTTTCAAATTACAAATACTACTATTCTGACAGTGCCTTGCACGCAAGAGGCACTCGAATCACAGCTGCTGTGTTTTTGAAAATGATCTCTGAGGTTGGTATCTCCCAGGGCTGCAAAAAAGACATAGAAGTTGCCCAAAAAAGGCTCCCTGAAAATTCAGAGAAGGTATACATACAAGGGGGCAGAAGGGGAGTTAAAAGGGTGACCCCTTGAAAGCAGAGAAAGAGGATGGTAAGCCGGGGGGGAGCAGTTCAATCACTAGCCACCCTGTATATATATTTGAAAAATCCCCTTTAAGGAAGATGCCAAGCTCAAAAGAAATCCAAACAACAATTAACTTGGGGGTCAGGGGTGACCTAAAACAGGAGTCAGAAAGCCATGCAGCTTAAAAATGACCAGCATAACCATTCATCACCCCAACTACATCAAAAACCATAGAACAAAGAAGAAAGCAAAGGGAACTGAGGGCACGAGAAAAACTCGGAAATACCTGTGACAGGTTTGCACTGGGTGCTTTATTAAGCGTCTCCGTTTTTTCTAAATCTGCCTCTAACTCTGTTTGGCAGAGGTTGAGATCTTTTTCTAGATTAGTCTGGTTCAAGAAAGAAAAGATGGGAAAGAGTGTTTTAGTTAGGAGGAAAGGCAGACAGCATGGAAGGTTACGTTTGAAAAACGAGTTTGTTTAGTATCATACATTAATAAGGCAAAGATGGCATGACTAAAACACAAGAGCTTACTAGAAATGAGTTAAAGACAGGAAAACAGGGAATGCAACATTAGGCATAGAGAATATAAATCCTGTGGTAATCAGAGCTCCAAAACTCTACACTACTTGCTAGAGAGAGGAACTACACAGACCCCAAAAACCTACCTTTTAGGAAATACCTATTTTCTCTTTTTCAGAGTATGGTGACTATGACACATACTATATGTCAGAAGAATAAGCAATTGCTTTAAAAACCTCTACACATTAGTATAAGTCTTAACAGACTTTGTTAAACTGTTTTATCACCAAGCCAAAAAAAAAAAAAAAAGTTACAATCAAGTTAAAAATAAAAGGGGGGGGATTTAATAAAAGAAAAAAGCCCACAACACACGCACACTAGCCAGGCCAGAGCGCACACACACAGCCCACAGTGGAATTACCTTTCTATCCTCTCTAGGAAGGATAGAGCAGTCTCCAGGAGTATAATCCCATATCTTTTTGGGAGGCTGACGGGAAGCAGAGGAGGAAATGAAGAAATGAGCGTAAAGACATAAAGACAAACATGGAGACCGGCTCAAACCAAGAGGGGCAACACTAGGAGAACTGTCTCAACACAGAAAAGTGAACTAAAAACAAAAGGAGCGGGCACCCCGTCTCCTGAGGCCACCTGGGGACCCCATGGAACTCAGGAGCTGGAAATGTTCAAGTGGGAGGTTTATTTCTGCATCTCTGTCTCAAGAGTCCATCACTATTGGATTATAAATATTGAAAACTTTAAAAAGAACAAAGGAAAAAAAAAAAGCATTAACGCCAATTTGAACAAAAACAAACATTTAAATTCCTCATTGTTCTTTTCCAACTAAGATGGACACTGAGAGCCTACATTTTGGAAGCTAGCCTTCTCACCTGTAAAATTCATTATGTCTTCATAAACATGTGAATTTGGAGATCTGACCAAGGGTGGGTACATGGTGCTAAATGTGCTTCCTGTGGCTTGTGACGATGAAATCCATGTATGAAACAGGTGTTAAATATTGCACTGTAGAACTAGACAATTTCACTAGATAAGTTTTAAAAAATCTCCTTTCACAGTTTACCTAGACTTTGATAATACTGCTGATGGCAGAGTCAAACCTTCCATCTCTCTTAGAGAGCAGAGTTTATACTTTGAATTTAAACAGTGAACTGTAAGGTTATTTTTATTTTCTCCTTTAACTGTTCATGTTAGAATTAGAACTGCATTCCCGAAGTAGAAATCTGCCAGGAGAATTGTTTTAAGGGGTGTCCAGAGGGTAGGACATCTGGAAGTTACAAGCCGCTTCTATCTTTGCAACCTCTCTTCCACTAAGTAAACCTTCTTGTTCTGCCCACTTAGACTTGAAATTCCTTACACAATGACCCCTGAGGAGATGATATCATTAATAACTCCTATCATTCTGTGCACATTTCATCATAACCAAGTCTGTGGAAACATTCAAATGAGTTTTACATTTTGCCCTGAGCTTACTTACAGAAATCACATCCATTTCTGTAGAAATTATGGGGAGAAAAAAAAGAAAGAGCTGACACTCTAGGCCAAATAAAAAGTAATTGATTTTACAAATGAAACGTAATTGATTCCAAGGTGCCTTCACCAGTAACTTGTGTATGTAATATCAGTTGCGTGTATTCTGCAATTTGTAAAGTAAGTGCCACTGACAACTACCATTCAGCTTTAAGCACTTAATACAGTTGGATTGTTCATCTGGGGATGGAGATGTTTCCAAGTCACTGTTGGTAGCCCTACTCATTTACTTACTGTGAAAAATAAGACAGTGCTTACAAATTAAATTGGTTTTAAATAATCTTGCCCCAAATGGTCCCTGGAGTCTTAAATTAGTTGATATCCTACAACTCATTAGACCTAAAAGGTATTACAGTCAGGAGCTTGCTGAGACTTCAGCTCATTTTGGGTGGCTTTAAGTGAAGGGGCCAAGGAAGAAAGGAGTTCAGGCTAAATGTCTAAAGGTCTGGCAGGCTTTACTAGGGGGAAGTGGGTCCTAGGTTCACGTGGCGTAAAAAGGAGAAATGATGATCCACGTGGTTTGATAGTAGTTTTAATTTCATTCTGCTTCTGAATGACTGAAAAGTCTTCCGAAACAGCTGCCATGGATTACACCCCTCTTATTTACGTCTCTTGCTCTTTTGTGGCCCAGAGTTGATTGGGGTAGGAGAGAAGTGAAGAAAACATTTCTCCCCATCACACCTTCCTCCCAAACTCTGGGAGTCATCAACCTGGTTCAACCAGATAACAAGCCCACCCTCAGGATGACTCAGACCATAAGGACCCGTTCGCCTCAGTGCTGTTCCTCAGGATATAGGCATTGATTAAGCTATTTTGGCAAGTCTTCAAAAGTATCATCTTCTATTACTTTAAAAGACCTACACAAAACGAGGTAGTCCCATTTAAGAAGGACTCTAAGGTCTATGCAAGGAACACTCTGGCTTCAGAGAAAATGACATTTTGGAAAAGCATCTCTAAGTCTTTAAATAATTAAGAGGCAGTTGGGACAATGGGGTAGGAATACAAATTACAGGAAGGTCCCAGTACGCAAATGGACCGTGTTGTCAACATTTGTCTGGATTGGTTGTGTGGGCTCAGACTACAGTTTCCAGCAGAAACGATGCTAATTCACGGAGCTATTCACAGAGCCTATCTAAATATGCTGTGACTGAAATGCTGTCTACTGCTAACGAAGAGTATTATTTACGATGACAGATTTAACTAAACAAACCAATCACAATTAATTAGAAAAAAATGGCTTCATAACTTTTCCTAAAAGTTAATATTTCAGTAAAACTAAAATAGTTATTTGTTATCTGGCAAATGAAGAGATGGCTAGAAATTTGTGGATTCTGAACAGGGTTTCAAAACTCAATGGCATAGTCTCCTTATTATAAACAATTTAAAGCTAATATCTTTTGCTTTCTCTGATGAAAGTATGGCATTATTATTGCGTGTACCAATCATGGTCTTTTTTTTGAGGGGGCAGGGGTACACATTTCTGCAGGGTTTTTTGTGAGATAATTGAGCAGGTTTTAAGAAAAAGAAAAGGAAAAGGGTTAGAATACTGTTAAATCTTTGCATGTGGAAGAGACTGCGTGAGGTAGACTTCATTGATGTGTGAATGGTGGACAGCAGAGAAAACAGGGAGAGAGGGGCGAAGTGAGGTGTGTACCAAAGCTTTGGGGGGTGGGGAGGAGGAGACGGTGCAGACTTTGGGTTGGATGCTTCCCTCTCTGCTGGTCATTAGGTGGCGCTGTTCATCCAGGACACCTCGGCTGACGTTAGGTGACAGTGTCAGGGAGGGGACAAAGTGGGAGGAATGCCTGTTCCTACAAGAAGGGGTGTTTGCAAGGCAGGTGCTCCTAACTCAGAAATGACTGGACATTCAAACAAAGCTCAGCAATTCCAGAGCAAGTTAAATTTCTCCATCTTCATCTTCATTAAAAATGTACTACAGAACTGAACATTTTACTGAGCTGTAAAGTTAATTGCTATCTGCAAATAAAACTATCATTCTACATCCTGGTGATTCAAATGCCGATTCAATGCTTAAAGTCTCATACAAACATCTAATAAAATGTTTTATTTTTATACACTAAATCCCTCCACCTGTAAATTCTTTTTGCAGCTGTAATAATTAAGACTTTAAAGTAACTGGAGCTTTAAAGTCAGTTTCCAGTCATCTCCAGTGGAAAAAATGAGCTCAATTCTCCCTTCGGTTTGATACTCCTTTGGGTGCAAGGCCAAGAAAATCCTCCTTTAAGTGCCAAAAATCAATTTGTACCAAAGCGAACTCAGACACATCACAGGGAAGCTACAGGCTATTGGGCTGAATATTAAGTTTGCTAGAATTCCTCACTCTCATTTCTAATTTGGGGAAATATTATCCTACCTCAAAGAAATCATTCCCTAAAAGTCGCCTGTAACAGGATGGCATTCGAGGATCACCTCTGCATAGAGAGGCCCTTTTCCACTTGCACTGCCACTTCCCTTGCATGTGTGCTTCTAAAATTTCTATTCAAAGCAGTGACAATGCTGGTCTTTCTCAGTGTGTAATGTGTTTTCCTGGTTGTCTTCAGTACACCATGAAGTCTTTGGTCAAGGAACTGAACCAAAGGCCGAAATAATGCAATCTACAAGGTGTGTGATATTTGTTGCTAGTGGTGGGAGGTCCTGAAACAAGCAATGACTTAGCCATGTCTCCTGGGGGATTTTCTAGCAAGAAATACTGTCCAGAGCTCACTGTCCTTTCTTGGTGAAGTAAAGCAATGGAAAGCTCACAGGTTGTAGCTAGAATAGACAATCCCACAACTGACAGCCAACAAGGCTGCTCCCCACTTCCTGAATTCTTTACAAATAGGTCTGATTTTTTTTAGCAGCAACAATGCATCAACAGCACTATTAAAAAAGGTGTCTATAACCACTGAAGCTATTAAACTTACCGGTTTCCCAAACTCCAATTCCGAAAAGAATTTATACCAAGGTTCATTCTTTAAATCTATCTCTTCTGGGCTTATATCCCGACTCTATAGGGGTTGGTGATAGGGAAATGGAAGAGAGAGAAGGATAACATTATGCAGAGATTACATAGGAACCGGCCAGTAGAGATGCAGTGGTTTCCAGAAATATACAGCACCTGCATTCAACAGCAGCGATCATCCATTTCTTTATTGACATGAGCAAAATCAGGGGAGCTGAAACAGGCGGGAAAGGATGTGTTTATGAAAACAGGCACACTGAGGTAGGGAGCAGTGAGGGAGTCATTCTCGGTCCCAAGGCAGAGGGACGACAGATGGAGAACGCTGCACCACACTGCCGCCTTCCCAACAGATCTGAACATGGGCATGACAGTTTCCCTTAGTAATTGTCTGAGTGGTGGGAGAAAAGAGAGCCCTTATCCCTCTTTACAAAGAGCTATTAGTTAAGAGCAAATAACCTGGGGAACACATCAAACGTTTAGCCATCTACGCCAGATGAGTACAGCAAACACTTTTCATGGGCTAGTACAGTTTTAGTACTTATTTGCAAGGCTGCCTTAAGGGTTTCAAAATAAGCAGCAAATACTGACACTTTTATAAAAGCCAATTTGTTAATACTGCATCTTTAATGGCACATGAGTAGGTGAGAAACCATGTCCCATACAGAGTAAAGTGAAAGATGATGTAAGTAAAAACAGTAGACACAAGTGAAAAAACATTTTAAACAAGCATCCATGGGGGGTGAATACAGACAGAATATACTTTGTGTTCTACGAAATAAACGTTAAAGAACTCGGGAAAAAATAAAGCGAGGGAAAAGCTGAACGAGACAGATAACAGAACGATAGGTGGGGAAAAAACTTCGGGGTTATGTTACAAAAATAAGTTAGATTTCTCATTTTATACGACTCTAAAAAGTAGTTCACAGACTGATAATATGATTCCATGGGATTTCATGTTGAATCAAATATTTATAAAGTTCTGGTACCTTGCTCTGTGGAAGAGCATGTGTTTCCGGAAATAATTAGTTGGAAAATGAATGCCTGGAAAGCAAATCAGGTTTCCCCTTAATAAACTGGAGATATGGTCACATCAGATAGAAGTGTTAGAGGCTCACGGCTTAATTCCTACGGGTATATACGTTTCAAAAGATCTTGATAGTCACAAAACAGATAGGTGGTGATATTCTGACAACAATATGAAATAGTAAATGTACATTTTCCACTGTGATTGAAAACATCATAAGAAACTTCACGCCCTCAGGGCCATGACACATGAGGTAGGAAACTGCAGATCCTGTGGACGCATCTCCAAGTGACTCCTTCCCAAAGCTGCTCCTCCTGGATACATTTTTCTTAACATTCCGTTAACAGGCCTTTTGTAGCTTATTGAAATGACTGTAAACTTCCTTAGTGACCTTTACCAATCTCTTCTAAAAATCCCTATAAGAATCTTTACCATTATTTCTACTTTTGCTTTAAATAGAGGAAAATATGGCAGAGGACGTTTCTTCAACAGAAATTAACTGGATAGACGTTAGTTGAAATCAAAGGGAAATATATATTGAAACAGAGTCTGCCCTCTTGAATCCAGATTAAAACCTCCTCCAACTGTCCTTAGGGGCGCAGGGCTTAAATCTTGGAGAATGCGTGTTCCTTCTCAATGGATTTTGCAATTATGTAAAATAATGGATTCTGTATTTATTCAGTGAAATGAGGCACAATATCTACAAAGACACCACTATTCAGGAGAGACAGTTTAGACACAGGGACACCCTAGATCCTTGTATGATGGGGTTCCATGAAACCTATTTCATGTTTATTATTTTAAAAGACTATTTATAAATTGCTCTCTGGGAGTAGTTTCTTTTCATTAAAAAAAAAAAAAAAGTATCAACTCTTTCGGGAAACTGCCTGAATGTTCTGGTACTCAGTCCTGAAAGAATGAACCCATTTTATTGTCAAAGGTTGTTTGCAGATTGTTTTACTGCTGAGGTTAATGCCGGGCTGAGAACTGAGTCAGGAGGTATGTCAACCAGCTTGGACCCAGAGCAGCCAGCCTCAGCCCTCTGAACTGCCAGAGGGAAAGTGAAAGAGGCAGTACCACACAGCATTTGATCCTGCATTTATAACTCCGCTACAGATCCAAGTACAGGACGGACAGGCAGAAAACGTCCTTCTAGATGCAGAACAGGCTCTCTGTACTGGCAGGCAAAGCAGATTCCACAAGGCCAGGCTGAGTTCTCTGCTACGGGTGGCTATCTTTTCCCAGCTTGGCAAAATCCTCAGAAAAGGCAGGTGACTTGAGAGGAACACCTGATTGTCCTGAAGGACAGTTTTGCTGCTTGGACGGGAGCCAGAGACTAACTTCAGATTTTAATTAAATAATCTGAATGTGGCCCGGTCATTTACACGGCACTTTATAATGGTCATAGATCTTTAACCCACATTATCACACGTGATCCTCTCACTCAATGCTTCAGTGAGGCTGGCAGGCCAGATAATAATTTCATTTTATAGATGAAAACACTGTGGTTCAGAAAGGTTAAGCGATGTCCCAAGACATAAGGCAGAGTCAGAATTCGAACTCAGAACTCGGACCTTGCAATTCCTAGTCCAGTTCTGTTTACATTTCTCATACTCCCCATGAGAAGGGGGCGGGCCTGCTTAGTTTGTGGATGACACCAAGCTAAAACAGGAGCAAGTGACAAACTTGAAAAGTCAGGAAGGAATTCAAGGTGACAGTGAAATGGGAAGAAACCAAGTTGGGTAAATCCCCTTGTTTTACACTTTCAAATATATATCGTGTCTGTAATAACGATTTTAATGTCTGTCCTTCCTACTATACCCCTATGGGAGCAGGAACTCCAACATCTAATGCAGAGCTCGGCACATCAAAGTTATTCTATACAGCAGACCCTTGAACAGTGTGGGCAATTAGGGGTGCATGCAATAGAAAAATCCAAGTATAATTTACAGTTGGCCCTCTGTAGCCACGGTTCCTCTATATCCACAGATCCAACCAACCACGACTGTGTAGGGCTATAGCATTTACTATTGAAAAGAATCCATGTATAAGTTGACTGTGCAGTTCAAACCCATGTTGTTCGAGGGTCAATTGTATATATTTATTGAATTGAGCTGAAGTTCAGTTCTATAAGGGACTTTGGAGGAAAGTAAAAGGAACACAGCCTGAAAAAAGCCATTTCTGACAAAGCAGGGACTGACCAACAGGTCTCCAATTCCAAGACCAGAAGAGAAGAAAATGGACTCATACTATGATAAGAGGGGGGCCAAACAGTTATGAAGAACTTCAGGTGAGTTTGCCAGACAGCTGACTAGGTCACCAAGACTGAATCTCCTGGGGGGATTCTGAAGGTAGCACAGTGTTTATCTGTCTGGGATGCTGTGGGTTTGCTCCAGGAACAAGATGTGCTCTCAGGCAACCTTTACAGCCTACTCTTCAACTCTTTGTGTGAACAACAGATAGAGAGATGTGCCTGTGAGGCCACAATTTAAATTGCCAGGCTTAAGCAGACACGAGCACCTCCAACTGGAAAAGAATTGGGGGGAAAAGTGGATTTTCCCCCTTAAAAGGAGATGTGCATTTCTGAGAGCACATTTAGATTCTACACCTGTCTGTCTCTAGTTACTATACTTATTCACAGTTAACAACAACAAAAATGTGTGTGTGTGTGTGTGTGTGTGTGTATGTATGTGTGTGGTGGTGGGGTGGTGGCTGTGGAAGGAAGGGGGTTCCTCAGATTCTGGTAAACCCGACACTGGAAACCAAAAGGCAGGACTCACGTACTGAAACTCACATTCCAATGTTTCTGCTCATGTGGCAAAAAGAGCGGGAGAAGAAATTCAAAAATAAAGGACGAATTCAACCCCTGTGAAGAGTAGACTGTGAAAAGATGAAGATTCTCTCTGAAATGAAAAATGACTCTTTGGGAAGAACAGCGCTAAATAGAGGGAAAGGCACGAAACTAAAACAGCTGCACAGTGATGTTCCTCCCTGGCCAGCCTTTGGTGTTACGTCCTAACTGGGTTGGCCCAGGTCCTGGTACAACCAGGGGGCTCCCTGTGTGGGAACACCCAGACGGTGCTTGGCAATCCACGTGTATGGTCTGCGCAACTCCCCTAAGAGGGCCCCGTGGGCACTGTGCGCTACTTTTCGGGGTTTGTAAAAACAATATAAATGATCCCAAGGACTATGACATGGAAGACATTGTGACCATTGTGGTATCAGTGAGAAAAATAAAACTATGTTACTGTTTTTTTTCCTAGTTTTGAATAGTGGTCAAATTATTAGGAACCAAGGAAAGGAGGAGGAAACAAAGGAGAAATTAAGGGGCAAGCCTTCAATAAATCAATGACCTTCTATGAACAATAATAAATAATAAATTGCCAATACAAAAGCACCCAAAGGCCTACAGAGTCTCTAAAATCATTGAAGTGTACTGACAGGTGATGGTGTGTCCACCACTTGTTATTCAAGTGTCGGGAATATACCCAAAGGACGTGACATTCTTTCTAGGAAGACCTGTATGGAGGGTTACCTTTCGTACTTGTTACCTTCTAAGAGAGAGAGAACCTCCAATGCAGGGTTGAGCCCGAGGCAAAATTCTCCGCTCCTCTCAGAACTTTTTGCTTAAAATAACTGTGGTGCACAGTAAATGCTGAAGAATGACGACTCTGAAGCACTTCTGTGACCTGTTGAACCTTTTTTCCTAATTAAAATTACTTATCCCTTTGTGCTTTTAAAGATGTCACCTTTTTATTAAAAGTCAAATCAATTATTCCTTAAAAACATGTAGAGCAAAAGAGGTGGAGGGAGAATAATTTGAGCCCTCATTTCAGAGGCCTACTTATTCTGGACTCAGTGTGGTAACAGCATTTTAATAAGAATCAATCCCCAGCATGATAATTCCATCCTGCTGGCACAGCTGCAGGGTTTACAGAGCTTTGGAGGATCCCTTTAACCATGTTCAGAATTCTGAAACCAGCTTTTTCTAATGAAGGGTGAATAAAAGGAAACGTGATCGGCAGATATGAAACTAATCAGTTTGTAAAAATTCTCCCCTGCTTTTGCAGGGTGGTCTGCTATGCCCATACAGGCCATTTTCCCCACTGATAATTGCTTGGAGATGCAAACTTGTATAGGGAACCATAAACCAGACTGAATATGAAATTCGTCCTCTCTATTGCACTTGTCAGAAAAGGAAGACCTAAAAGACATACTCTAACAGCCGGGGGCTTTTTTCCCCCAAGTCACATCATCATATTAACTATTTGGCTTTTAATGATGTACTAGTAACTTCTACAAACTTTGCACATGTTCAAATAAGAGTCACCTAAGAAACCCCAACTTTAGTCCAGTTAGTAATAAGCCTGATAAACGAATGGTTAGATGTTTATAAAAAGATAGTGGCAAAATCCACCTTACATTACAAAATTTAAAATTAGTGAAAACCACGAGCAAAGAGAGCAACAAAGCCACAACGAGAGGATTCTTTCAAAGCATTCTTGGGACTTATTTTGTGAACACCTGCAAAAATGAAAAGGGTAAAAATGCTTCATATTTTCATTGTCTTCTAAACAAAGCAAGTCTATTTCAAGGGAGAAAGAATGTAATCCAAGTGCACACACAGTGCATCTGGATTAAAGAACACAGGCAGGGTGAGACAAAAGAACTTTAATATGCACATTACCATCTTTTCGTTGGTCAGAACGGAGGACTTGCCCGGCTGATACTCGTAAATGCTTTTGGGTTCTGCACGGTATTTTCTTGTATCCGCTTTCTTATCTGGGGGCTCCCAGTCGTTTCTGTAGAAAGCAAATCCTATTAGAGCTATTTTCATGAAAATTGGCATCCGACAGGTCAGACTTTGGCTGACTCTAGTCTAATCAAGGAATTTTTATATCCGAGGCACAAAATCGGACTCCGCCCAAAGCATTTAGTTGTGCTGGTTTCCTTCTTCAAACAAACAGATCCCTGTGTTCGCTTCACAAAAGGCTTGAGGTGTCCTGTGCTCACAACCAGACACTGGGAAGCAGAGAGAAGAGAAAGAGAAGAAAGGAAGCAGCAGCAGCGGCAGCAGCAAAGCTTGCTCTGGAAAAATCCTTCACCTTGCTCTGCTCTCAGGAGCTTATCATTCCCCAGACATGCCTGTACTTCCCACTCAGGCTAGTGCAGTGAGAGAGAATGCAGGTCCCGGAGCCAGGCAGCTGTGGCTCCAGCCCTGCTACAGCACTTGCTAGCTAGCTGATCTGGGCCAAGCACTTTGCCGCTACCCACCTTAGTTTCCTCATCTGAAAAATGGGGTTTCTGTAAGGATTAAATGAGACAGTATGTCTCAGCATGTAAATCACTTAGCAGAGCGCCAGGACCCCAGGAACCACTCAATAAATGTTATTTGTTATTATAACCATGTTCTTCTTTCCTATTCCACACCCCATCCGGTAATCATCAAAACTGCAGCCTTTGGCACAAGTACTTAACCCGATCCAGTGAGGGATTTCAGAGGATACATGAAGCCTTGGAAATTATTTGCAAAATTTTTATACATGCACATAAATGCACTTTGCACTGTGATATTATATTCAGTTTTTCCTGCAAGGCTCTAAACTTCTTGAAGGCAGGGACGATGATTTATGTATGTTTATATTCCTCCATAGCATCTGGTTCAACCCGCACACAGAATGTACCCAGTAGGCGCTCGATGAACGCACTTGTAAGGATTTATGGGTATACCCAGCCTTCCTTTCAGAGTAATTATCAAATTCCTCAGGCAGATGTCACTTACGTTTATGTGGGATTTCAAAAACAGCCGTTCATTTGTCTATGAAGATGGAAAAAGTTTGGAGGTGTGAAACAGTGTGTATTTAAAGGAAAAATAAAGAATTCAGTTTGGCCAGGGCCTTTTTGTGGATTGAGAAGTGGTGGAAGATAGAGCTGGGAGACGCATGGGACACCAGTCCAGATGGCACAGGAGGTTGCTCCAGAGGGCAGAAGACTCAATAAAAGACAGTCGGGTCATCCGGTGCGGGCATTAACAGATGACTGATGTCATCACAACCACGCGAGCCTTATGCTTTGATAATGTGTTGAATAAATAAATAGATACTAAAAAGCGTGGCTTCATCTTAAAATTATATTCTCCGCTATGGGCCCCATCAGTATGCACAGAGTATAAAAATACATGACAAATCTTACGGCTAAGATTTCTCTTGGGAAGAGGTAAAAAGGGATGATAATTATCGTCAACATTATTAAGCGCATACTGTGAGCCAGGCACTACTAGCAATGTTACATGCAGCATCTTGTTTTACCCTTGCGACATCCCTATGAATGCAAAATATATCCCCATTTTACAGATGAGAACACTGAGACTCAGAAAAAACAAGTCACTGCTAATAAGTGACAGAGCAGGGATTCAAACTCAGGTCTGCTTGACTCCTGGCTCCAATGCTGCCTGACCCAGAGAAAGAGATTGTGTATGAGAACCTCAAATCACAGAGCTGATGAGAGCACTTACCTTTCTGGGCTTGATTTTAGCGAGGAAGAGCGGGTCGGGAGGGGAAGCGTGGCCGACCTCTTAACTACCTTCTCACCATCAATGTAGTTCATCTCACTTTTTGAGCGCGGCACAGAAAGGGGAGATTTTGCTGGAGAAGGAAAAAGTGGGTTTTAAAAGAAAGACTTAAAACAGATGAAAACTGAAAACAGGAAGATGTCTTCCCTCGTTCACCACTCTCCCTTCCTCCCCTACAGCCAAGAAATTCTAAGTCACTTACTGTCTTCAGAAAAGGAATATCGAGGAGAGTACAGATCTGAATCATCATCTAGTGAACAAAACAAAACGTGATCAGGAGATATCCGGCTAAGGTAAGAGAACCGAGTGACATGTCGCCCACTGCCACTGTCCTGCACCGGCATCCAGCCATACCCGGAAGCCCAGCAGACAGAGGAGGAGCCCAGCACCAGAAGCTACACCACGGCAAACCACAGTTCAGAGCTGGGTTTGGAGAACCCACCCAACCAAACAGACCTGTAGTCAGGAAGGTACATTCACGACGCCTGGGGAAAGACTGCTCCTGACACCCAGAAACGCATGGGGACAAATAGCCAGAGGCCCTCTCGAGAGAATTTCCACAAGCAAAGCTGGTCCCCAGCCTGGCTGAGTGGGAAACGGGCTGAGATAGATGCCTGGGTGCTCACGCTGTCTCTGGTCCATACTGCTGAGTTTCATGGAGTCCCCAGGCCTGCTGGATGGGATGGGGAGGCCTGGAGGTGTGGGTTCTAGCTGCCCAGCTCAGCTGTGACCCATTTCATATGCTAGGGTTCCATATACAACATCATGGAGCAAAGAGGTACTGCAGCTAAGAAAACACTTTGAGAAACCCCTCATAATCGTTTGTTTTGATTCCACCTCCAACTGGTTCCTCGAGTAGCTTTCCTTCCTTGGAACCCCACATGCCCTCGGCAGATGTGGTCACACAGTTTGCTCTGCAAAGGTGCTGCTCACGGAAAGTGCAAACACACATGGGTTTCTGTGGTGGGAGATGGCTCTCAAAGGGCACAGCACACGTCCCTAAATAAGTGGAACACCGACTGCGGCGCTAAGACTGGCAGAACAAAGACAAGACATAAACCCTTCATGGAGATGGCTGCGTTGAACTAAAAATGAGACCGCAGGTTCACTGACGAGAATAGGTTTTTCTGCTGGGACTGTCCTGGAAACCCAGGATAATTGATCACTACATCCACGATCCCACGAGGGATCACTACATCCCTCCAAAGAATTTCTCCAACAAGAGTGAGGCTGAAACAGCCTCTCCCGTTTTCTAATAGCTCGCTAACCTGAATTCAGAATTCATGAATATGGAATGAAGACCCAACTCCTTCCCTTAAAATCAGTACCAGCTCTAACAAAGCACATGAACTAGCCTGCAAAGTCAGAGAATCCGATGTAATGTGTCGATGGCTAAGTGTCACTCAAGTCCTTATCTCCACGCAAGTCATTTTAAGTTTCAGAGCAGAAAAGGCCAGAATATTTTATAAAATGTAAATAAAGCTCACACTGCTGTTATTTTGAGTATTATTCAAAACCAGTCTATCTCCCCTTTCATCTCCCCATTTTATCTGTCCCAGGTCTCCCCAGCTCCAATAATGGAAAGGCTTCAGGTACCAAGATATCTTTTATCCTCCCTCCCTCCCTCTTGTTGCTTTGATATTGACTAATTCTTATCCTCAAAGTTGAACAGGGCTTTTGCTTTTTAACACAACTTCTGATTATTGTACTGATGAAATGCCACAGCCCCAAAGAAAACGAAAAATCAGCTTTGAATGCAGAGATTTGATTGGAAAAACGGTGCCTGCCAAACGAGTAGTTAGCTTAGTTAGAGACCAGTGTAAGTAGTGTTTAAAATCCAGCCTAGCATTTTAGCTCAAAACACTGTCTCTCTCTGAATCATGGGGAAATGACAGCCTAGGAGCAGATGGTGAGGTGAGGGTTAACTTGTAACCTCGCTCTTGAGGTAAGCAGCACAGTTTTCTTGAGGGAAAAATGGCATTTTAAACATTCAAAGATCTTTGAAAAAATTCTCAGCTCTTTAAAAGTTTTTGCTCCCTAGAGCTTTCTAATGTGGACTTCTAGAGGACTTGTTAAAGGAAAATGAGAAACAGTTCTTCTGAGATGGAAAAAAGAAACAGCATGGCTTGGACAGTTAATCCGTGTATTTTGAAAGTTAGAAGAAGTAGGAAAGAGAGGGGTGGGGGGTGAAGGCAACAGAGAAGTTCGAATGACCGAACCTTCTTAAAGCTGTTTCTTACTTGGGGTAAGTGGAAAAAGAAATCTCCCCCGTCTCAGGCTAGCGCAGGGCAGGGGTGTCTCCGTGAACTAGCTTTTCATTTTTCCCAGTGTCCACAGCATCCAAGTCTGACACGTGGATTTCAGTTCATTGACTTTCAAGTGGGCAAACTGGAGTTGCACAGATTCATCTGAACACTAGCAGTAAGGACGAGTTCCAGGGGATGTATAATTTATTCTTTTAATATGTAATGTTTGTCTTGCAAATCTAATGGGAGAAAATTTTACCTACATTTATGAATAAAAATAATAGCTGCTCCCATTATTAAGAGCCTAATAGTAACTGGTAATTTACTAATATTGCCTCACTTAATCCTTGCAAAAACTCCTGGAGGTACGTAAATGTCTATCTTAGAGACAAGGAAATTAGGGCCCAGGGAGGTTAAGCAAATTTGCCCTTAGCCATACAGTGAGAAAGACAAAGCAGGAATGGATTCAAGGTCTTTCTGACCCCACTTCCCTACCTATGCTGCCCCTCATCCCTGTGACAGGGATGGGACTTTGTTCTACCCTCATCTGCCCAATCCTGGGGAGAACTGTGGCTATTCCATTATCATTTTTATTAGGGAAGAGGCAGGGGAGGGTGTTCTTTTGAAACTCGAGTCATGCACTGCAGTGCTGGCCAGGCTGACTTCTAGCCCTTGAAGCCTTTGCTCTACTTTTCTGCAACACGCCCCCCCACCCCCCCACCCCGTGACATTTAAGCAAGTTTTCTGAGTTACCCCACCACACTTCTGGCTTTCCTCCTGCTCTTCTCCAGGGAAATGGGTAAAACTAAGTCACTCTTGCTACATCTTTCACTTGCTGCTTCTTGTACCTTCTCCTGGCAGGCTAAGTCTATACTGGGACAGGTGGAGATGCAGCTGGAAATACACTGAATGGGAAAACCGGGTGTAAGGTTCACCTTCTGCATTTCTGTACACCAGAGCTGGCCAAATATGTGTGTGTTTAATCATAGTTGAGACACACTAAATGAAATGTTTCTCAAGTTGCCTATGAACACAGATATCATCTATGCATGAAATCCTGCTTTCACTCTTTCTCCAAGAGTCCTTTCAAAGAACGTCCTAGTGGGCTCAGCAGAGCCGGGATCTTGTGATTCCTGCTTGGGGTGGAGCCACACGCTGACTGTGTCCTTCAGAGCCCCAAGCAGCAAACATCAAATCTTGGCAGCAATACCCAGACCTTCCCGTGCCAGTGACTTCCAGAAAATTCTAACACTAAGCAGCATTTACTGGGGGTGAACAACTCACTGCTGAGCCCTGAAGACCCCTGCCGGGCTTCGATGTTTGCACACCAGTGATTGCCCTCTAGGCTTTGGCAATCTGTTCCTGGAGGCTCCATTTGGGGACAGCTACTCTCCTAAAACTGCCAGGAGGCACATAATTGCCTTTCCAACCACAGTAACTTTAAATAGACTAAAAAAGACTTCTTCAGTTTTTTTTTTTTTTTTTAAAGAATTTATAATAATCTTAAAGACACTGGAGAAAGTGCTGTTTGTTCTATAAAAAGTGTGTAATTGACCAAAATGGGATGACTGACTAAAAGCAGTATTTGCATAATCGCTTGCCTATATCAATTAAATTTCAATTTTATGCATTTGTTAGGCCTTTAAACTTAAAATTATTTTTCTAATATCAGTGGCTCATTTTTAACACAATCTTTTTCCACTGCTCAAATTAATCCCTTTTCCTGCTTTACCCCACACACTGAGGAGCAGAAAGGATAAAGGGGTTGAGACACACACACACACACACACACACACCCAACAAACAAAAATGGTCAAACAAAAATGTACGCAGAGGTGGGTATAGAGGCCACGTGGGATTGGGGAGGAAGAATAAGAAAAAGGGGGAGTGGGGCAAGATGGTGAGGAAGAGTCCAGGGAGCTTGGGGGAACAGACCCCAAATTGTCTATGTTCTGGTTAGAAGCAATCAAATTCTAAACATTGAAAAAAGATCAATATAGGCTGTTAGAATAGCTACAGAAGACAAATTCAGGAAAAAAATCAAACGTGAGGAGTAAAGAGAATGAGGTGGAGCAGGACGGGCATGAAAGGACCAGAGGGCTGGAAGACAACTCACCGGCCTCATCTCCCGGGGCGTCCCTCCCTCGAAGGTGGAAGGGGACTCACTGTTACTCTCTCTTAACTATCTCGCAGGTCAGACTTCTGCGCTTGCTAAGCAGAGGAATTCTGGGCAGCTCTAGTTAGGGGAGCAAAGGTGATGGCTGCAAGCACTCAGCCCCTCCTTCGGGCAGTACTCGCTGGAGTTCGGGCACAGATCCTGGCCAGGCATCTTAACGATAGAACCATTTGCTTGAATTCAAGCAAAATAAGGCTATTCTTAGAAATCCTTTAAGGCCAGTAGAGGATTATCTTAACTCAAATACAGATATGCTTGGGAAAATCAGCCTCCTGAACCCTTGCCTTAGTGCATCCCCATCTAGGAATGGGGAAGAAGCTCAGTGAGACTGACCACTGTGGCGTGGGAAGTCACCACACCTGAGGATGTCCTGAGGTTGGGTCTTTTTTTTTTTTTTTTTT